CGGCCAAATAAAAAAGGACTTTATGTTTCAGGGAGAACTTTACTTTGACCTTTTAGATATCTCCCAATATCTGGATTGAATTGCTGGAGTTTCTTGAAAAACAGCTTACTGTTTGCACTTTAGTCATGGCACATTTTAATAAAGGGGTATTGGAGTCTTGACTTTAATAGAGCTTGGGAAAGTTACTTTTGGAGCTACAACTCATAGACTCCCCTATTCAGCATGGTTTTTCCGTACTCTGAACCTTCAAACTTCAGACCATCTGCAAAATGCCACTTGTTGAAAGTCACCAGCTTTCAGTTGTGAATTGAAATATATTTCAGTGTCAATGAGTTTGAAAAGATACTCCCAGTGTATGCTCTCCTGTTCTACACTTTAGTTCTCTATCAATGAACTACATTTGCTACCCAGTCCAAGGAGACCAGACACAAAACATGAGCTAAAATAGGAGCAATTTTATTAACAATTTCCTATTTAACTGTGTTTTTTTTGTGATAAGTAATGAAGGAAAAATTTGGTGACAGAATGGCTGGAGTGGTCTGTCTCCCCAGACCTGAGCTCCCAGCCCCCTCTAGGTGAAAATATTCCTTCGAGAGGAATCCATGAAAGTCAGAGTTGCTTTCAGGTCCATCCAATACACTGGAAAGCTAGCCAGAGGGTATAAGCCCCCAAGTCACTTTGGCCCCTAGTGAGGACAAAAGACTCAGAGACCAGCCCAAGAACAGATTTTTCCCCAATCCCAAGATTGCATGATACACAGGAGCAGTTCCAAAATCCCATCCTACACAAATGTGCCAGAAGGTGTACCACTGGCTTGTATCTCCCCACAACACCTATGGTGAAGACTTATTGAAGATACCACCCTTAGTCAGTGCTCAGATTCTCCATGACAATTTCTGTTAGGTGGAAAAAAAACCTGTGTGTGTATGTGTGGAGGGGGGGTTCCTACTCAGTCCTGTAGTGACCAAAATGATTACACTGTGTAAGGAGACAGGAGGGTGAGTGAAAGAAGTCCAAGACGAAAGATGGAGGACAAGGCTGGTTAGTAGATTAGGTCATCCCTCTCTCCCCATCATACTGGCACATGATGCCAGAACACATTCACAGCTGGCCTCCATCCTCATGTAGATAGCAAAATGATTTCTCACACCATCATTTCACTATGGTTTGGGAAATTACATTAAAGATGAAACAAACTTGATTCTTTTTTACTGGCTCAAAGAAGTTTTTTTTTTTTACTTTGATGGTTCTGATAAACTCAATTTGCATACAAAGCCTTTCTATTTCTTGTTATGCAAAATTTAAACTTGGCTTCCTGAATTTCTTTTAAAGTTAAATCAATAGGGAGCTTTTGCAATGAGGGAGGGTATCAAATGCTTCTTTCTGTTTCAAACTTCAGTAATCAGTTTTGTCAGATAATGCTTGTGGGTACCAAGCCTGAAAAAATAACAATCTTAAACTCATACCTGAGACTGCCTAGTTTTTTAAATGTTTCCTAGATTAAAAAAACTTCAAGCACACACATAAGAGATGATTGTTATTTTGTTAATCCTAAATCAGAACATCCAGACCAGTGGTATGGAACCTTTCAGAACCTTCAGAGCCAATGGGCAGTATGCCTTAAATGCCAAGGGTTGAGAGTTATAGACTCAGGGCCCTTGATATAACCCAGAATATCAAGGCAGATAATCCACAGTATCTGCTTTGAACTGGTTTATCTGAGTCCACACTGTCATATAATCCAGTTCAATGTGGATTTTATGCAGCTAGGTGGAAGCGGCCTGAGGATGCTACTACACTACAGAATCAACCCAGCTTTAATTGCCATAACTCAATGCTATGAGATTGTGAGAGTGGCGCTTTTAAAAGATCTTTAGCCTTCTCTGCTGAAGTGTGCTCATACCTAATGAAACTACAACTCCCATGATTCTATAGCACAGGGCCCTATCAGTTAGAGTGGTGTCAAACTCCATTACTTGTACACTGTAGAAAACAGGTCAGACCATTTGGTCAAGTTAATTCCATACTGCCTACCCTGATGTCCTGTTTGTGCATTACTTGTGTGGAGTCTGAATTAGAACTAGGTAATGATAATAATAGTGATGATAATTTGTTACTGTCATCTCCTCATGTCTTGAGGCAACGTAGAATATAGTTAAAATACATAGATAAAACAAGAATCCATAAATATTCATATACTGCAAAACAGAACAAAGATTAAAACACCAATACTTCTAAAACAGGCACAGCGGGTTAAACTAAACTGCAGAACTTGCTGACTGGAAGGTTGGTGGTTCGAATCTGCAGGACAGTGTGATCTCCCATTGTTAGCCCCAGCTTCTGCCAGCCTAGCATTTTGAAAACATGCAAAGGTACCACTTCAGCAGGAAGGTAACAGCGGTTCATGCAGGCATGCTGGCCACATGACCTTGGAGGCCTCTACAGACAACTCCAGCTCTTCAGCTTAGAAATGGAGATGAGCAGCACCCCAGAGCTGAACTCGATTAGACTTAATGTCAAGGGGAAACCTTTACCTTTACTCTACTTATAAAATATACATTTAAAATTCATAGTACAAAATTGACTGGTAGGCCTGCCAAAAGAGATCGTCTTCCGTTGAGTCTTGAATCCTAACAGCTCATTTAGCTGTTGACCGTCTTCCAGCAGGTCATTCCACAGCCAGGCAGCCAATGAAGATGTCCTCTGAGTGACAGTGCTTTTGCTGACTTCCTCTGCTGTTTCCTTTGCCTAACACTGCCCTGAGTATGGTTATCTGATAAAGAAATGCATTATGCACTCACAGATAGGGCTCATAAAGTCAAAACACCCACATAACTCCATATGCTGAGTGTTTGCATTTCCTTTTTTGCTTAAAAGTGTAGAGATTCATGATTTCAAAGTAGTAGTCTAAGAATGGATAATTAAAGCAAGTTCCAAAGTTGGCCATCCGAATTCTGTTTAAATACCTCCAGAGAAGGAAATCCACCATTCTCCCAGACAGTTTATTTCACTGAGCAGCTGTTATAGACAAGATGTTCTTCCCAATGGCAAGATGGGCCTGAACTGACTGTGTGAGTACCCAGGAGAGAGATTGTGGGGAAATAAATGGATTGTTCTATGAAAATGTCAACTCAGCTTGTGGCGCCTGTGAATAGAGGAGAATCTTCTCTCTCTCTCTCTCTCTCTCTCTCTCTCTAAGAACAAAAACTGAAGCGAAAATGGCTAGTTAGTGTGATAATTCCATATCATAGGTTTATGGTGTATTCTCATTTGGAACATTGACCACTTTCCCTAACAGGAAATAATAACAATTTTAAAATTGTATTTCTTCCTTTTGTTTAGAAATGCCAAATCAAGGGACACATGAATAGCAGCCATTCATAAAAGCATTATTCTTATTCTTATTTCCTCTTTCCCCCAGTCCTAGGACTTTAAGGCATCTTGAAAAAATTAAAACTGATATAGCTAAAAGTCCAGATGATTAAAATATGTTTAAGCTATTAAAATATCTATTTTTTTAAAAGCAACTACAGATGATTTATCACCTTTGGCCCTCTAGATGTTTTAGATTTCAGCTCCCACAATTCCTAACAGCTGGTAAGATGACTGGGGTTTCTGGGAGTTGAATTCCAAAATACCTGGAGGAACCACTCATTTATCACACTACTGAAGGTTCCTTCCCTATGAGTAATCAGTTCTCAAAGGCCTACTAAAACTGTCTTCATCAAGTTGTCAAAGGCTAGCAAAGAGGAAGCCATAGAGAAAGCTCTCTCCTGTGTTTCCAAGAGATGCACTTGTAGCAGTGATGGGTCAAAGAAAAGACATCTCTAGAAGATCTCATTAAACATATGTAGAGATATGATCTCTCATATGAATTATTATATATGGAAAGAGAGGGTTTGGGTTTAAAAAAAAAAGAACAAATGCCTGTAACAGAAAATGAATGTCTTCTCTAGGAACATGTTTGATCATTCAGCATTAACGCAGTGGATCTACTCTAGTTGTAACTGGGAAGTGAATTTAGACCTCTATCACACAGTTTTTATTGGGAACTGGTTCTTTGGCCATTTTCATTTCCCATTGTTATTCTCATGACATCTCTGTCCAATAGAGAATTGCAAGCTATTTTTCTGCATTGCATGGTTATCCTTGAGATTATACATTTATTTATTCATTGATTTATTAATGCACATCTGCCATGCCCTTTATCATGGGATTTCAGAGCAGCAGACAATATAAACAATTTAAATTACATCTAGATAAAACCATAAACAATTTAAATAGGATAAAAACATAGTAAACAAAGGAACAGTTCAAACAGGTAGAATACAGAGAAGTATCCTTTGGCAGATCCCAATTCATGGGCAGTTATACGTAGAGTGAGGACCCATCTAAACTACCATATAATCCAGATTATCTGATTTGGACTGGATTATATGGCAGTATAGATCCAGCCTGATGCATTCCTTTAAATATTGAGATACCTGGACAGTTTTATTTATTTATTTATTTATTATTTAAACTTATATGCCGCCACTCCCCTGGGGCTCGGAGCGGCTTACAAGAATAGCTAAAATCTAACAAAGTTTAAAAGCAATTTAAACCAATTTAAAAACAACAGTATCAAACATTAAAAGCCTGTCGGAACAGGTATGTCTTACATGCCCTGTGGAAAGCTGGTAAGTCCTGCAGGGCATGAACCTCAGGTGGCAGAGCATTCCAGACTGATGGCGCCACTGCTGTGAAGGCTCTGCGTCTGGTTGCCGCTAGACGCAAGGTCTTGACACTGGGGACCTCCAATAGATCTTGGTCCTCAGAACGGAGGGATCTCTGGGGTTGGTAGGGGGTGAGACAAGACGGGTTTGGATAGGCTTCAGTTGCTATGGATGCTGATATGTGCCATAAGGGAATTTAACATTTCATGTTGGGACCCCTTTTTACCAGCTAGGAGTATCACATGTTCCTATAAATTAAGTTTATCCTTTTTTTTCCTATTCTAGTTCTGGCAGTTTGGAGACTGGGTGGACGTGGTGATAGATGACCGACTTCCTTTTCTTGATGACAATTTCTTATTTGTCCATCCTCGCAGCAAAAATGAATTTTGGCCTCCTTTGCTTGAAAAAGCCTATGCCAAGTAAGTACACACAGAATCTTTTTCTTTCACATCGTATTTGCACTATCAAGCATGCCATGCTTAACTGGCATTTCCTCTATGGTTCACGGAAGTAGGAAAAGCATTACAAAAGACAGATAGAATTGGCTGAAACCTATTGGTAGTTCTACATCAAAATTTCTATTGAATCAATAGGCAATCCATGCTCTTGTTATATCCCGAATAGACTACTGCAATGTGCTCTATGTGGGGTTGCTTTTGAAGACTGTTGGGAAGCTTCAAGTGGTCCAATGGGCAGCAGCCAGATTTCTCACCGGAGTGGTGAACAGGGAGCATACAACTTCCCTGTTATATCAGCTCCACTGATTGCCCATCTGCTAACCGAGCACAATTTAAAGTGATGGCTTTAGCCTATAAAGACCTAAATGGTTCTGGCCCAACTTATCTGTCCAAACACATCTCCCTCTATGAACCACCTCAGAGGTAAAGATTGTCTGGGGTGGTCCTGCTCTCAGTCCCACCTCCTTCGCAGGTGTGACTGGTGGGGACGAGAGACAAGCCCTTCACAGTGTTGGCCCCTGGGATATCTAACTTCCCAGTGAAATTAGTTCATCCCCCTCCCTCCTGACCTTCAGAAAGAAAATAAAAACATGGCTCTGGAACCAAGCTTTGGCCAGTAGTACAATGAAATAAGTGAAATTGAAATATGTGCAATAACAATTGGAACAACTTTTGACTATGACTTCGGTTCACATTTAATAACAGGTTTTAATGTTTATATTGCTTTTTAATTTATGTTTTAAAGGTATATGTCTGTTTTGTTATATTTCTATTGATATGGCATCACATTGCTGCTGAGTTCCCTTCAGGGTGAGAAGGACGAGATATAAATACAGTAAATAATGATGTCAACACTTGGTTAGATGTCATTCACATAATTGATTTACTCTATAATTGACCTGCTCTAGGTAAGACAGAAGTCAGAAACCATTTGTAGATAAAATGTAGTAGATCCACATTTCCTTTGAGTTCAGAACTTAATAGTATAATGTCTAAAATAGTCTACTCAGAAGTATATTTCACTATGTTAAGTGAGATTTTATCCTAGGTCAGTGGCTATAGGACTTAATTACTGGGATGGGATAGGAATAAATTGTTTCTGGTTCTAATAAAAGCGCATTCTACTTTGCATCTGTCCTCTTCCTACTCCTCTTGCCTCTATCTGCCTTCTCCAGATTAATCTTCTCATTGATGGATTTTAACTGTGAATTTTTTTTACTACTGTTTGTGTTTATTCCTGTTTTAATATTTGCATATTTGTATATTTTAAAGTGTAGACTAATACCTTTATGTCAAGCCACTTTGAGTTCCCTCTGGGAGAGATAAAGCAGGGTAATAATAATAATAATAATAATAATAATAATAATAATAATATACACATAGATGAAAAAGATATGTATTCTCCTGCTGCTGAAGACTAACATAGACAGTCACAGTAAAGACAGCCTCTTCAGTTATAGTTGATGCCAAGCAGAATTACTTCACTTCATTTCATATGACCTCCATTTCAGTTTGGATGAAATTTCATCTTCTCATGTATCATATGTAGCTCAAATCCACCATTTGCCTTTCCATGCAACAAAACCAAACAAAGCAGGATGTTCAACAGCAGCACAAAGGAACAGATAATAAGCATCGGGCTTTTAAAAGATGGTTTTTGAGATGGAAATATACTTTAGATTAGGAAGACTTGACTCAGGTATCACTTTGCTGAAAAGCATTTTCATTCCAGATCGTGATTACATTAAGATGGAAAGAAACGCTGTTCATGAGATTTTCTGCAGGAGGATTTTCCCTTGTGCATACTATAAATTTTTTTCTTGCTGGTCTAGGTAGGGAACATTGTTTTAAGATGCAATTAACCATGGATTTCATCTTCTGATTCTCTGTGTTTCTCAGATAGTATACTTACTGTGATATTTAATGGCACGTATTCCTGTTATCTACAGTCAATTCTGATTAATCTAACCTCTCCTCCCCCCTCTCCTCCTCCTTCTTTTTTGCATTTGGGATCAAAAGCCCAAGATAAAGGAACACACTTGAAAGATCCCACCTGGAGACATGATGCTATCTGATGAACATTCAGTGACCTGAACAAAATTAAAATGAAGTAATCTAAGATTAGTGGCAATGTTGTACATAGATTTGCTAGTGCTAAATTCCACTCTTCACCTGTATGCTTACTGATTTACATTAGATCACCTTCCAGCAGGGGCGATTTATTTTTTGAATTCAGAAGATTGTAAACATGGAACCAGGGGAGTTGTTTAAGCTCTCAGAATGCGATGTACAATGTAGTGTTTCTGTTCAAAATTCAACAAGGCACAAAGACCTGCCTAAGGATATATTGAAATTTAAACTGAATAGGAAAGCTAAACCAGTTAAAATAAAGTGTAAGTTAAGAGCATTTCTTTAATATTATCAAATATGTAATAATAACAGTAGTGAGGACTATGATTGCAGCTTTAAAATGCTCCTGGATCCATTCCAGGTGGAGGTAACAGTCGGGAGTGCTTACTAACAGTTTGGTTGATACTCTAGCTGTGCCCCTTCCTAGAATTGGATAATGTAAAGATGGTAGTACATGCACTGGTAGTTGGATTTCTGCAATTATTTTACTTTGGGCGAACTCTGTACCAAGTTCAGAAACTCCAATTAGTTCAAACATGGCAGCAAGACCAGTTACAGGAACATCAATGAGTGAGCTCCTTCAACTTTTCCTCATGTATCATGGGGGAGTGTTTATTCATGTGATTCTCCACTTGCACTTTCTAGAGATTTACTGTATCTCTCTTCTCTCTTTCCCTCCTCTCCCAACTTTCTCTCCACATGAGACTCAAGGAACCTTTACAATCCAATAACAGTTTTATTTCATGATCTGCTTGTTGAGTGAATGATCTTTCCCTACTTCCCTTCAACCACTCCAAGCAAGGCTTGGTGGCCTCAGTCACTGTGGCAAAACTTTGCCCATCAGCACCAGACTGATATTTTTCAAAGAAATGTTGATTGATAGCAGAAATCATCATCATAACATAGCATTGATCTTTCTTGCTTTCCCACAAAAATTGAAAATGTCAAAATTGACCTTTTCCTATGTAAATGTTTGTTTATTTTGATTGCAACTCATTTTCTTCCAGGAAAGATTCTCATTAGCTAGTTTTCCAAACAGCATCATTCACTCATTGTGCTTATGTATGATGATGAGAATGATTGTAATAGCCTTACAGTTGCCTTCCCTGGCACTTACCTATTTTATATCTTACTTTCACATGCAGTAAAATGGCCTACTAGAAATAAAGATGGATTGAATTGTTTCATTTTATGTAACATTCTCATTTTTTCAAGCCTCAGATTATTTTTTCCTCTTCTGAATCAGTTTGAGTTTTTTTTCAAATTCTGCACAAACAAATCCAAGCATAGCTTTGTTTGTTTTGCCCTTAAGAAGTGAATTTTTGCCATTACTTTACTCAATATGTGCCTTTTTGTATGCCCTTTTTTCTAATCTATGCAATTGTTAACGTGTGCATTTTTAAACAAAGCACTGTGTCATAAATGCCAACACGTGAGAAAACAAAAGGATGTTTGTGTTTTACTTCATTTTATTGTTTAATGAAGTGTGGATATTAGTTAAGGAAGTATGAAGGCTATCATTCATTTTATATTCAAATAGAAAATGAACAACTTTCTTAGCTATCCCTGTCATAAAAGTAATTTCAGTCTGTACCATAAAGGCCAGGTTTACAACTGACACTTAATTTGTTCCTTTCTGTTTTGTTGCCCCTGAAATTCAGACACAAAGCAATAGGTATTTGTACATCTATTATGCAGTTTTATTGGTTTTTAATCTTATTTTGTTGTTTTGATATCTGTTATCTTGGTCTGAGCTGCTGGGAATATCTTTGGCAGCTAGGGCCACTCAAATCTCAAATAGTTTAAACAAATACGTGAATGAATAAATAAATAACAGCACATACATTCAATTTGACGTTATTTCTCTTCCAGTTTTCAGTTCATATTAAGAGTGTTGAAATGTGATGCTTGGGAGTTTTGAAATGTAAAGCTCGGTATTAGCAGCTAACTTTGCCATCCATCAATTCTTAAGCAATGCCAATGCCACACAAAATAAAGATACCCCCCTCTTCTTCCTTAATTTCAAAGGTTTTTTAAATATATGTATCTTCCAGATTGCGTGGTTCCTATACAAATTTGGACCAGGGCTACCTTACAGAAGCTTTGGTGGACTTCACTGGAGGAGTTGAGATGCCTTTTAACCTTAAGAACCCTCCTGATTCTCTATTTGAGATGCTAAAAACAGCTGCAGAGTCTGGCTGCCTTATGGGATGCACCACTCCTAAAGGAGTAAGTCAAACATTCATTTATTTTGTTTTATTGAATGTAGATACGGATCTTCCCTGGGAGACGGTTCAACAACAGCAGGGCTGCTACTGAAAACCCCTATCTTAACTATCTAACAACCTGCATCTTTAGATGGATGGACACAGATTTCATGATGGTTTTTGGTAGTTTCATATGGAAAGAGCATGGATATCATATCATATCCACAAGTTGTCATTCATAACTATAAAAATTTGCTCCTAGGCACTTCACCGTAAGCATTTAATAATGTAAACCTATTCTACCAACTTTTTTTTCTTTTGGTTAGTCTGAAAGGTGTTGCAATGTCCTTTTCCATAGTGTGATTTAGTGCTTTGATCAAACATCACATAGTGTAATATGTAATGTTTCCTCAAACTCTCTAGCTCCTTCCAGCTACAGTGAAGGTTTCTGCCTTGCCCTCAGTCAGAACTCCAAAATTAGAGTCATAGAATCATAGAATAATAAAGTTGGAAGAGACCACATGGACCATCTAGTACAACCCCCTGTAATACAAGAAAAGCACATTCTAAGTACCTCTGACAGATCCAGCCTCTGTTTAAAAGCCTCCAAGAAAGGAGCTTCTACTACATTCCATGGTAGAGAGCTCCACTGTTGAATAGCTCACACAGTCAGGAAGTTATTCCTGGGAGATTTCCCTTATAGCCAGTAGTAAGAATTCAAGCCTCAACCAAACTCTCCACAGCTGACTCTCTGAACTCACTCCAAACTCACTCTTCACAGCACATGGGCACTTTACTTTTATACCCTCCCACATTGCATCAGCCACCTGCTTGCAACATGATGAGTCAGAAATTTGCCTGGTGGCTAGGCTTAATCTGGGCCTCAGGTTTTATGTCAATTTACTAAAACAAACTCTGACAGTCTCCGGGCCGTGGAAAACAAGCCTGCTCCCTCTTCCTTATGACGTCCTTGAACATATTTATACATGGTGATCATGTCCCCTCTCAACCTTCTCTTTTGCAAGCTAAATCCTCCTCATAGGGCATGGTCTTCAAACCTTTGATCATTTCAGTTGCCCTCCTATGGATGCCTTCCAGCTTGTCAATATCTCTTTTAAACGGTGATGCCCAGAATTGGGCACAGTATTCCAGGTGATGTCTAATAGCAGTAGAATAGAGAGGCACAATGACTTCCCTCGATCTAGACACTATACTCCTTTTGATGCAGCCCAAAATCCCATTGGTTTTTTAAGCTGCTGCATCACATTGATGGGTCATGTTCAACTAGTTGTCAATGAAGACTCCAAGATCATCTTCACATGTACTGTTGTCAAGCCAGGCATCGCCCATCCTGTATCTTTGCATTTCATTTTTTCTGCCTAAGTGTAGTATCTTACATTTGTCCTTGTTGAAATTTATTTTTGTTAGTTTGGGCCCAGCTCTCTAATCTGTTTAGGTCATTTTGAATTCTGATCCTGTCCTCTGGAGTTTTAGCTATCCTTCCAAAATTAGTGTCATCTGTAAACTTGATAAGTGTGCTCTCTAAAATTTCATCCAAGTCATTAATAAAGATGTTGAACAGAACTGGGTCCAGGACCGAACCCTGTGGCACTCCACTAGTCATTTCTTTCCAGAATGAAGTGGAACCTTTGGTGAGCATCTTTTGGGTTCAGTCACTTAACCAATTATAGATCTACTTAATAGTAGCATTGCCTAGCCCACATTTGACTAGTTTGCTTGCAAGAAGGTCATGGGGTCCCTTGTTGAAGATCTTACTGAAATCAAGATATGCTACATCCATGGCATTCCCTGCATCTGCCAAGCTAGTAACTCTATTGAAAAATGAGAAGAGATTAGTCTAGCATGACTTGTTTTTGAGAAATTCATGTTGACTTTTAGTAATCACAGCATACCTTTCTAAGTGATTGCATACTCCCTCCTTAATGATCTGCTCCAGGGTCTTTTCTGGTATTGATGTCAGGTTGACTGGACGGTAATGGTTTAGGTCCTCTTTTTTCCCCTTCTTGAAGATATGGACATATATTTGCCCTCCTCTAGTTTGCTAGGACTTTTCCAAGAATTCTCAAAGATTACTTCCAGTGGTTCTGAAATGACTTCTGCTAATTCCTTAATACTCTTGGATGTAGTTCATCTGGCCCCGGAGACTTGAATTCATTTAGAGTAGCCAGGTACTCCTGCATTTCCCCTATTACCTTGTGTGCGCCATATTCCTCTGGTTGAACAACTATCTCTTTTTGGGGGAAGACTGAGGCAAAGAAGGTGTTAAGCAGATTTACCTTTTCCCTATCCCCTGTTAGCATTTCACCACCTTCTCCAGGCAGAGGCTCTACTGTTTCTTTTTTCTTCCTTTTTCTCCTGACATAACCAAAGAACCCCTTTTTATTGTTTTTATTCTCTTTGGCAAGCCTGGGCTCATTTTGCACCTTAGCTTTATGAACCTTTTCCCTACATATGTTGGTTATTTGTTTGAATTCCTCTTTGGAGATTTTCCCCATTTCCATTTCTTGTACCTGTTCCTTTTACATCTTTGCTCAGTTGAAAGTATTTTTGGGCCTCTATTCTGGTTTCTTTAGATTTCTCTTATATTTTCTCCTTGTTGGCATTGTTTGCATTTGTGCCTTCAGTATCTCACTTTTAAGGAACTTCCATCCATCATTAACTCTCTTCTCTTTAAGCACTCCTCTCCATGGGATCACATTCAGCATTTCTCTAAATTTCCTGAAGTCAGCTCTTCTAAAATCTAGAATGCATGTCTGACTTCTCTTAGTTTCCCCTTTCCTCTGTTTCAGAAGGTACACATGCTCACTCCCACCTAAGGATCCCATCAATTCCACTCCATTTACTAGGTCTCAGTGTTGATTAAGATGAGATTCAGAATAGTTAATCCCTTGTTGCTTCTTCCACCTTCTGGACAATAAAATTGCAAGGCAATTAGAGAGGAACAAGGAGAATCTGGCAATGGAATGGAAAAAATGGATCCAAAGATTCTCCAAATATGCACTGAAGTATAAATATCTAGCATAGTATCTTATTGCTGTTTCTAGAACAAAAATTCATGGTGGAAAGGAGGGAGATGAAAATGTCCACTAGAATTTAAAATGACTTTAAAAATACTTCCGTATCAATACGGACCCAACAGGATTTTGAATACAATAGAATTTCTAAGAGAGAAGCACTTCCTCAGTCTACCAGGGGTTTCTTCACATAGCTGTAGTATTTTATTTCTACTCTAATGTTCATGTCTGCATCCTATGAAATCTTAGAATTCACAGTTTTAGGACCTTATCAGATGGTCATTAGTAAAGTGGGGGACAGCAAGGGAAATCATGCGGTCCATAGTATCCCTTACTATGATGTTTCTTGGTCTGTTCCACTTCCTCTTTGCCTTCTCTGGCATTGTTGTCATCCATGGTCAGTGCTGCCAGCACAGAGACCAAGAGTCCCACTGGAAGTAGCCCTGCATCATGTGATGGGCTCTGGGGGACTCCATATTGGCAGTAGAGAGAAACGGAGAAAAGGTGCCCCAACAATGCAGTCATATAAAATACAGTCATTTATTTGATCTAATGTAGATGTGAGTGATTTTACATTGTCTTGACATTTTTCCCCCATTCAGAAGTTTCCAGGTAATATCCAATCGGAGAATGGAATTGTGCAGCTTCATGCTTACACTGTCATATGGGCAACCGAGGTAAAAAAAAAAATCTTACCCCTTCCTGTTCATCTTTATTGCTTCCTTCTAATGAGTGACTGGATTTCTGAAAAAAATTCTTTGCTTTCATAGATTTATTGCTTGCAGGTTACTTTTTGTTGATTTAATCTAGAGCTGCCTGGAGATCAGATAATTTTATTTCTGCCTTCCTTATTTCCTGAAATGTCAGAAACCCGAGAGCTTCATGCACAACTAAAAAGATGATGAAGTTAGAAAAGCCACCTGTTATTAGTCATTTCTAAACAAGAAATCAAAAGTGTTGAAACTCTAAACCTGTAATTAATTAATTAATTAATTCTCACAATTGATTCAATTCAGCCACTCTCACTGCCAACAAATTTGACCGATTTACTGTGGTGAGTCAAATGGATCAGCCTGTTTCAGGGAAGGAATACTAAAAGGCTACCAAGAGGTTAGGGCTGGCACTCCAGTCTTTATGCTAAACTTTAAAGGAGCTATACAAAACGCTGAATTTATTGAATTTGGTTATTTAGTTGTTCGGTCACTTGCAACTCTTTATAATCTCATGAACCAGCCCACGCCAGAGCTCTCTGTTGGCCATTACCACCCCAGCTCCTTCAAGATCAAGCCAGTCACTTCAACAATAACATCCATCCATCTTGCCCTTGGTCAGCCCCTCTTCCTTTTTCCTTCCATTTTCCCCAGCATCATTATTTTCTCCAAGCTTTCCTGTCTCTCATTATGTGGCCAAAGTACTTTATCTTTGCCTCTAATAGTTCCTTGGAATGAAGACTGGAGTACAGCCATTGCCCTTCTTGTTACCAGGCAAAGAGGATCTTGGCAATATTTTCCATAAAGGACATACAAGATATATTTATTACCAGTTGAGTCTTATCCTTTTTTATTGTTTTTATTGATTTTTATTCAGAAATACAGAGGGAAAGAAAAAATAAACAATGTAAGGAAAATATTTTTTCATAATATACAATACTAAGCTACAACAATGAACACAACTCTAGGACAATCGCCCTAACATAAACAAACCCACACTAGTAAACACATTCTAAACATATAACCCTCTAAAGCTAATCTACAAGCTTCACACTCACTGCCTGTTGATTTTAAATTATTTTCCACTCTGTTTAGATATCACTATATATCAACACGTCTACTTTTAATACCACTCTTCTCAATCAGAAAACAGCAACAACAAAAAGAAATAAATAAGTTCCAGTCTTTCTTAAAATTCATCAAGGATTTCTCCTTGATCAGCACCATCTCAGCTAATTCACAAATATTCATCAGCCAACAACAACAACAACAATAAACATTTATACTCTGCCACCATCTCACAAAGCATTCAAAGGTGCAAAGGCACAAAGCAACAACAACCAACATAAACATCACAACCCCTCCTGATTAAGATCAATAAAATGCAACAATAGCTGCAGAATACAAAACAAACTGCAAACTGATAAAATGTTCTCATCTTTCCAACATCTACTAGAACTGCCTTTATACATCATAGAAAGACTCTCTGGTGTCAAATTCCACCTATATGTCATGTTATAGAAAATTTCTTTGAAATCATTACTCAAAGTGAATTTGAAACTTGTTGCATTGTTCTAGTTGGATTTGTATGCCTAGTTTTTATAATCTTTCACTTTTTCCTCCTCCATTTCATATTTTAACAGCAGTTTATACATATTTGCAATCAAGTGGTTATCCTCAGAATATAATAAACTTTCAATCTCTAAATTAATTTTACCTCCTTAAACCATTCAGTGATATGTCTATGAGCAAACCACTGAAACTTTGTCTTTAACTCCTGTCTCATCTTTGGCTTGCATGGATCATTGTTTAATAGTAACAGATTGTTGTAAGCCAACTATTTTTTTCCAACGGAATTTCTCTTCTAAACAAATCTTCATGTAGATACTAAGCACCACAATGATAGGGTTCAGCACCTTGGATAGTGACTTTGATGTTAGAACTAAAAAGCGTAATATAGCTTGTAGCTTCTGTTGCTTCTAACTGGATTCTGCAAATACCTTCTTATTGTGACTGGCCTTTACTTCATAGTTCTTGTATCAAAGGGGGCTTTGATTTTATCTTTTCTGTTGTGTTTTAAATGCCCTTTAAACTGTTAAAAAGTGCCATTTTTTTAAACATAATTGTTTCATGAATTATTTTAACCTTTGTTTTAAATTGGTTGTAAGCTGCCTTGGGTCCAAGGAGAAATGTGCAAGGAGAAATGTAGGGTGTTGATTAATTAATTAAGGCTTTCCTGAAGGAATCAACGTTCAGCCTATTTCTTCCTACTAAAACCACCAATTTTTAACATTTCACTAACCATAGTATTGAAAAGAGTATGATCTTGAAAGGAGCTGTGAAGGCAAGTGTAAAGTACTATGAAGTATGCTACACAGGGACCTACAAAATGCAGTGGGTTCAATTACACATCCTAAGCACAAGGTCAAAAGTTCAAAATGGGATGAAGAAGTTGTTTTCTTACCTGCAAAGCATAAACCCTTCCTCTACCCAGGCACTAATATCATCTTCTGCAGAAGGAGATCAATTTGGCAGGAAAAATAATAATCCAGCAATCAGAAAAGAAAGCAAAGGATTTACTACAGAGGTGGTTCTGTTTTCTGGGTGAAGTTAGTGCTCATCCCTCCAGGGTCATCATTTATGATGCTCATATCCTCAAAAGGAAAAGAAAAGGCCAGAGCTCTGACAATGACCTCAACTAATCCTCTGACATTCCTTCCCTTGACAATTGTAAGAACACTCACTTATATGGAATGTATATAGTTTTTCTAGGAACTGAAGTGCTTCGCAAAGAAGTAAAGAGCTGTGTAGTATATCTTGGCATTCAACAGGAACATCATTACTTGAACAAGACATTTTGGTGTTGGGTTAAGCATCTGAATTGCTACTTTGCAGTCCTTTCTTTCTGAAGGCAAGTTCTGGGCCCTGTTCTGATACTGGATGACCCTGGTGAACTTAAACTGGTGGCTGAAAGCCATTGTGATCATAAGAAGTTCCAAACTGGATTTGATCTATTTAGTCTGATATTCTAGTCACATGATGGCTGATCATTTGCCTATGGGAAACCTACTACTAGAACATCATCCCCATAAGGGAAGTGGGCAACTAAATGTCAATTTGTTTCCTGTCACCAGTTTTAGTCCATTAAGAATTATGTGAATCTGCCACCTGGGAGAGAATGTTACAAGGGGTACTACCTGTGGTATTGATTGTGCTATGTAGTCATCCTGACTAGTGACCATTGATGAATCCCTCATCAATTACTTTATCTAACTTTTGTTGAATTATGAGACTAGGGGAGAAGTTTGCCCCTGATTCCTTTCTCTATATTGCACATTCCCAGATCTTGCTGTCCAGCACAGGTTAAGTGATAGGTCCTGTTGGATCACTGAGGAACCAGCAGCTAACCAAGGGTGTCCAACCCTCTCTGTTTCATTGCAGTACTGATTATTTCCTCCTCCCACCTCTGCATATATTCATTTATGGATGATATTTAGTTGATAAGAACAAAAGTATTCAACCTCATTGAGGAAACAGAGAGAATCAGAGTATGTGAATGCTCTGTCCTGTAAATACATATCCTGTTGTTTGTAAGCTGAAAAAATTAAACTCATGCTGTGCAAAATGTAAGATTAAATAGCCTGTGACATTCATACAATTTTATGACTGAATGTCTCCTCTTTTAAATGTAAAGATCCCTATTACTGTTGTTCACTGCTAAAGCAGTGAACTTTGATGAAAAAGATAATCAAGACAGTAGGCCTGCTGTGCATAGTAGTGGCATTTCTAGCCCATCAACAAGGGAAGAGGATTCATACATCCTCCAGCGCAGTATAACAGAAACATTATCTGCCAATTAATTATCTTGACAGAGATACACACCTTGTCATGCTCGTGGTTGATTCTTACCTACTGAATTCCAAATGGAAAATGATTTCAGATATGTCAAGTTTTATTTGATGCTTAGACCATAGGTCTTTCACATAAAAAGTAAACAAACAAAATACATGAAAACCAGATAATTCAATACAATATAAAATACACTATTAAAATCCTATATTAAATGCTACATATATCAATGGCGAGATATGCCTCTAAAATACTACATAAGATACTGCATGGATTAGCACCTGCATAGTTAAAAACCAGGTAAAACCAAGTAAATTCAGCATTATTAAAACTTAAACAGGGAATACTTTGGATATAAACAGCCACTATTAGTTAAAAGTATTCCCAGAACAGCCAACTGCAATATCAGAAATTAATCTTGCCCAGGTTTTTTGTGCTGCCAGGGTAAAAAGAGACACTTTGTAAATAACCACAGGGTTAGTGTTAGCTAAAGGTAGAAAATCTTTTCTGACACCATATTGGTTTTAAGGAGATAAAGAATAGGCCCCAGGATTTTAGTTCTTGGCTCATAATTCAGAGGGCAGGAAAACAAATAATGAGGCAAATCTTCAATTTCTGGGCTCCCGCGCACACATAAACAAAGAGCCTGAAGGGTACCAATGATTTAAGACAGGGGTCCTCAAAATTTTTAAGTAGAGGTCCTGTTCATGGTCCATCAGACTGTTATGGAAAAATACATGGATGAATTCCTAGGCACACAGAGCATATCTTATTTTAGTCCAAAAAAATCATTAACGAACAAAAAAACATAAACTTACCAGTATTTCAATGGGAAGTGTGGCCTGCTTTTGGCTGATGAGATAGTCAGGTTAATTAGAATTGTTCTTATTGTGTGTTTTTAAGTCATTTCAGACTTAAAATAACCCTAAGTCTAAAGTTTAGGGTGGGGCCAGGTAAATGACCTTGGAGGCCTGAATCTGGCCTGCAAACCTTAGTTTGGAGACCCGTAATGCTTTTGTAAACCTGATTAACTATTTAAGTTTCAGTTTTAAGTGTGTCAAAACACAGTGAGAACAATGAAGGCTTGAAAGACAGGTGGGATATTGTCAGGACCATGGGGCCAGATGAGGAAGAGGAGGCCTTCCTCCAACCAGGAGAATATGAGCCTTAGGAAGAGGCATTTGGTATATCTGTGGAATCGTCATGTTTTGTTCTGGGTGTGAAATGTCTTCTCATTATGTTTCTCATCCTTTTCCATTTTTGGAGCCCTTGCAAACCAGTTCCCTAGGATCTCTCTGCCTCTCAAAAATGGTAGTGTGATAATCATCTGCTTTCATTCTCCTTCATATTATCTCCTCACTCTGAAAACAGAAGCTCCTCCATTGATCAGGGTTATCAAGAGTGGGGTTTTTTTTAAGAAAAGTGTAATAATTAAACTATATTTTTAACCCACCCTATCTCCCTGAGGGGACTCAGGGTGTAAGAATTTCCTTTGGTCCCTTAAGGTCTTTGTGAAAAAAGGGGTACATAGTCACTGTCCTTTACAATCAAAATCTTCCTCTGCCTAAGGTAAAGGTAAAGGTAGTCCCCTGACATTAAGTCCAGTCATGTCTGACTCTGGGGTGTGGTGCTCATCTCCATTTCTAAGCCGAAGAGCCAGCGTTGTCCGTAGGCACCTCCAAGGTCATGTGGCCGGCATGACTGCATGGAGCACCATTACCTTCCCACCGGAGCGGTACTTATTGATCTACTCACATTTGCATGTTTTCGAACTGCTAGGTTGGCAGAAGCTAGGGCTGACAGTGGAAGCTCACGCCGCTCCCCGGAATCGAACCTGCGACCTTTCGATCAACAAGCTCAGCAGCTCAGTGCTTTAACCCACTGCGCCACCGGGGGCTCCAATGGTCTACCTACCAATGGTCTACCAATGGTCTACCAATGCCTACCAATGGTCTAACTTCACTGTCTGACTTGCACCCAAATTCTGTTGCCCTTCGATACTATGTGTCCTCCTGGCAGCCTACCTGGGCAAGGCAGGAGATAATCAGCAGCTGCTCTTAGAGTCAGAAGAAGTTACAAAGAATTGGTACAGTGCTGCCTAGGTGTTGTAAAGCTGTGTAGAACACAGCTTAGTTTAAACAAACAACAGGAACAAGTCATCCAAAGCCAAGAATCTAATATCAGAGCAGCCGAATTAAGGAGTCCATGGAAGTCTAACCAGAATAACAAGACTAGGTCTGAAGTCAGAAGCACAAAGTACAAACAACAAACAGAGATGTGTGAGCCAATGTTGAAGTCCAAAGTCCAAGAAGCCAGTCAGAAATCAAGCTGGTAAAACAACAGATCCATATGAGGATAAATGGGTATTGGATTTTAGTCAGATAACAATATTGCTGCAAAAGTGTCACAACACTGAGAACTTTATATCAAGATCTTCGCTGCTGCCTGAGTAATGGGCATTTTTCAGATAACTGAGACCTGTGAAGACTTGCCATCTCTATCCAACACTCTAGAGGTGTGGGTATGTTTAACCATTGTGTAGCTTGCTCAGATTTGCTTGCTTCAGCTTCCTCTAGAGGGGCTTATACAGACTGCTTCAGCTGAAGGCTTATATTGTTTTCTGCAGTGGCTGAGCTAAGCATGGCTCAATGCTGGGAGCTGCTGGCCTCCCTTTCATCTGTTTGTGCTTCTAACAAATACTCATCCTTGCTATCTCAGCTTGTCATGACCCTAGGATATAGAGCTTTGGGCACTGCCTCCTACTTCTCCAGGCTATGGGACAATTGTTTCTAGATCTGTGCTTCCAGCAATTGGCACTTTTGGAGGTCTTCTGTCTTTTCTATGTCTTCTTCCAATGCTACCCACTTGCTGCTTTTCTCCCACTTTCAGGCACTATTGCAGTCTTTTGATGACTCCCAGCTTCTCTGCCCTCATGTGAGCCCCAGTTCTGCTGTGCCTTGCAGCAAGAGTCAATTGGATAACAATTTATAGTATTTAGTGATATATATTCTATATCATTATTTTCTTTATATACACAATTTATACTGGATATCAAGAACGATGCACAAATAATGATATCACAGGAAAGATCAAAAGCATAGGCAATATAGTTTAGTTTCAAGCCCCCTTTTGAACCACTGCATCCCAGTAATTTGTTCTGCTTTCCCACAATTGTCCCTGCCATTGGCAGAAGAAAGTTCCTCATACAATCCTACCTGATTCCTGTTTTGCCCAGAACCGCAGACATTTTTTGCATGATCTTGGCTGAATGTGTACAGAGCCGTGTAACTACTTCTTATTTTGTAGAAAGTGCACTGTGGCTATAGAAATATGTGTCACTTGGTTATAGTGAGTTTTCTTCATTCAGTCTCATAATAGAATGAAATCATATTGAGACCTACAAACTAGAGTGGAATAGGGGAGAAAACAACCAGGCTCTATACTGGAATTGACCCTAGAAAATAAGAAGAATGACAAAATTGTATTACTTCGACTCCAAATTATTACAAGCCTGACCCTTCTGACCCCCAATATATCACTGGCATTCTATTATGTTATTTTGAAAATTGGAGTATGTAAACATTCAATAATGTATCTATGAGTTTTTGTAATAAACCTGAGATAGGATCTATGAAAAAGCAGTGTTATTTTGGGTATAAAATGCTCACTGAGTCTGAACACATAGATTTAGTTGGCTGTTAGTTATACAGGCAGAGAAACATGTTAATATCAAGCTGTAAATAGAATCCAGGAGGGCTCAGTAATTACATTCCAAGGTGACAAACCTCTAAGATTTATGGCATATCTGTTTGGGAACATCCCATGCTTTCAGTTTATTTGCAACTGGAAGTGCAGAAAGCAGTAGCTCTCAAAAGAAGCTATCACAATATAGTTTGTACCCATTAACATTGCCTATTTCTGCACACATGAACAGTGGAGCCTATGTGAAAATTTTAATTTCATGCAGGTGCAGAACGGCATGAAGAGAACTGAGGATAAGTCAGTAAATGTTTTTGTAAACCTGACTAATTATATGGGTTTCAGTTTTAAGTGTATCAAACCACAAATGAGAACAATGAGGGCTTGAGAGACCGGTGGGATATTGTCAGGACCATGGGGCCAGATGAAGATGATTGGGGGTGGCTTTCCTCCCAGCAGCAAAATCTGAGCCTCAGGAAGAGGAACAGCCTGATGTAACTAAAGCTGAGTAGAAAGAGGCTCAGCTTTCCTTTCATGAATGGAAACACTTGAGCCGGAACAGGAGGAGGAGAAGGAGGAAGAACAGGCATTGGCTTACCCTGCTGGCTCCAGCTCAGGATCGATGCCACCAAACTTCAATGGTTTAATTGATTGGCTGAAAAAAGAAAATAACAGCTGCGAAGGGTTATCAGGAGCTGCATAAAGGGCTGTGTTTGGAACAGTTGACTGCTGGAGGCAATCATTGTTTGGTTCTACAACCATAAATCCTTGATGTCCTTGTACCTTTGCACTACGCTTGTGGATATTGGACTTATGTTTTGAACCCTGGGCTACACCTTGGATATCAGACCTGGACTTGCAATAAACTTCAGTGTACTTTGACCCCTTGGAATGCACATTGGAATTGGCTTGCTTTACCAAACTGCCTATGGTGTTAAATCCTGGACTGCCTCTGATTACTCTTAAAAGGAAGGCTGCAGACAGCTGACAGATATAGAATCATAGAGTTGGAAGAGACCTCGTGGGCCATCCAGCCCAACCCCCTTCCAAGAAGGACAATTGCGTTCAAAGCATAAATTCAGTCAGTCAATTAATCATACCAATAGAATCATAGTAAATAAAAATAGCAAATAACCACCACTACTTTAGATTATTGAACAGTTTCAGGCTATAGTGTTTACATTTTCATGCTTATTTCTCCTAATATACATATTTTGTATGTATAGCTACCTATTTTCCATGTTTTTCAACTTCAGATTGCAAGGACTAGCAATTTCTTGCAAAATAATGCATATTAAATATATATTCACTAATTTACATATTTGGTACTAGATATTTTAATATACATTTGAGTGGAGAACTGTATAATAAAATCTAAAAAAGTGTGAATAACACTGTGTTACATTTGCTTCATACACTGATTTGGGAGATGCAAATTAGGTTCTCCTTACAATGCAAAAAACACGTTTTTTCCCCCATCCCAAGTCCATAGTGAGTTGCTACATATTATTGACAGAAATGAGACTAAAGTCACTGTGTGAAGAATGGCATCAATTGTTTACTTGCTTCAGGCAGCTAATGTCAGGAGCTAAACACTAATAGCATAATACAATGATGGTATAAGCGTACATTTTGTGTATTAAAGCAAATACATCTACCCGTCTCTGTTCCACTCAACAACATAAACATGCAAAAACGATTGTGTTTTATTCTCTCTTTCTGAATAGGTACCCTACATGGATGGGAAGGAAAGTTTAGTCAGACTTTGGAATCCGTATGGCAATACAGAATGGAAAGGCGCTTGGAGTGATCGGTATAACATTTTAGGATTTTATTGGGAGTATTGGGATGAAAATCTTCTAACAACTGGAATATAGGGAGTTCCAATTAATCCCCTGTAAGGGCTAATCAGTCTATTGTTTCTATGTTTCAGTTCTACGTAGTCATCGTAGATTTGATCTAATCTAGTCTAGATTAGAATAGGTAATTCCTTGTCACTGTTTATCTAATTAATATTTGTATGCTTTTCCTTATTCTTGATATTTTGTAATTCTGCTTTGATCCCTGGTCAACAACAGCCTTTGTTTAAGTCTTCCAAACTTAGATCCAGAGTTTCCTTGATTGAATCACTTTGTCTATAATGTAGTCTTTCTTTTTTTCCTACGACCTTCTACTTTACTGGGCATTATCATCATGCCATCTTATAGTAAGTCCAACATAGGATAGGCTCAATTTAGTAACTTAGGCTCCTAATGGCTCCCTGTTGTTGCTTCTAGACCAGTGGTTCTCAACCTGGGGTCCCCAGATGTTTTTAGCCTTCAACTCCTAGAAATCCTAACAGCTGGTAAACTGACTGGGATTTCTGGGAGTTGTAGGCCAGAAACATCTGGGGACCCCAGGTTGAGAAGCACTGTTCTAGACCTCTCAGGAACCTTCAATACTATCAACCATGATATCCTTCTGGAACGCCTGGGAGGGCTGGGAATCAGAGGCACTTTGCTGCAGTGGTTCCGGTCGTACCTCTCAGGCAGGTTCCAGATGGTGGCACTTTGGGGAGAGCTGCTCTTTTAAAAAGGATCTATTATGAGGTGTCCCATGACTGTGGAACGATTTGCCAGAATAACTCTAACAGCTAAATGAGTTGTCGGATTTTAAATACCATGTAAAGACCTATCTCTGCCAGCAGGCCTACACAGAATATCTTTAAACATGAATGTTAAATGTGTGTCTTTTGTTTAATCTGTTTTGTGTATTTTAATATGTATTTTATAGACATATGTTTTGGTGTGTGACTTTTATAGCGGTACATTTTAATATGTGTATTTGTGGTGTTTTTGCTGTGCTTGTGCTTTAATTGTTCTACAACCCACCTCGAGCAATGAGGAGAGGTGGGTAAGATATTATTATCATTATCATTATCATTATCATTATTATAACAAGAGTTTGGGCTTAGCTTCAATTTTTTGGTGTTCTGTGATAATACCTTGCCCATTTTTCTTAATTAGTCTAACTTTTGTATTGAATGCTCTATTTTTCTTTTTGAAATTTAGTCTTTAGGCTCTTTTAAAGTGATATAAAAATAAGTGAAGGAGCAGAAGTCTTCCCAGAACCTCTGTCTGCATTGGGGGTGGAGTGAGGCATGGGCAGATTGATTGGCAGACTGCTACTACTGCTGCCTAACCAATATTTCTTCCAGCATTGCCAGAATGTCAGTTTAAATGATTTAAGGTCTGGTCATTGTTGCTGGCATCCCATCTCCTTTTTCTTACTCTGTAGAATATTCTTTTTCACGTTTGAAAATTTCACTAGAATCAACCTTGAGCCACAAAATTAGAATCTTGTGTCTCCCATGGATTTCGCAGGGAGTGATTTAAGCCTGCACATAATGAACTTAGTAAAACTTATAATAACATAATGGACTTGTACTTCATGATGTAGCATGTAGAAACTAAAGAGCTAAGACTTTTAAACTATATGGTTACAGACTGGGAAGATTATTTTTCAGTTTCAGGTCATTCATAGTAAAAAAAAAAAGTTTGTTTGACAGCCAGTAGCCAAGTTAAGAGTCTACTCTGATAAATTATAATTGATTTGCATCTAAGTAAGATCAGCATAAGGTAGATTTGAAACTAGTAAAATTATGGGTTGGAAAATGCCAATGATCTGCTTAAAAGCTAATAGGCAAAACCAAGATAAAAGCTGATTCCAGAATAGGCAGAAACAAGCAATCTCATGATTGCTTCCAGAAACTTCAGGAATGGTCCATAATGCTGGAAACAGAGGAAGTCATTACTTGCATTGGAATATCTTGCTAAATAAGGTGTTTAGACAAGGTAAATCTTCAATAATGCTAATTTAGACGAAACATCATAAAATGCTTGTTTTCTCAACAGATGAAAAATCCCCAAGTGCCTAGACCATGCATGGGCAAACTTTTTTGCCTTGGGGCCACATTGTGGGCCTGACTGAGAGGGTTGGGCCAGGAGGAAGGGTGGCCAGGCACATGCTGGGTGGGATGGACCCGGCAGGGACAGGGCCTGTAAGCGGGTGGGGCTGGAAGGGGATGGGGCAGGACCTGGGTCACCCTCAGGTTGTCCTCCTGGGAAAAGGATGGGGCTGCTCACCCCATCCTTTTTTTTTTGAATAGTTTTTATTGATTTTTCACCAAAGTTACAATAAAACATTCATTCATTCATAGAAAATAGTTCCACCACCCCCACACAAAAAAAATCAACAAAAACATGATACAACCAAACCAAAAACAAACCACATCACCCTAGTGCGACTTCCATTCTTCTTACTTTCCTCGGTTCATGTTCTGTCTTCCCTTTTTCTTCTTTCCCATTTCTTCCAGCAATGTTTATTTATATAATAAAAAGGGAACTATATATATTACTTCTAACCCTCTTATTTGGTTTAATTTATCCAGTCTTTCCTTTCAATATATTCTTGTAAAAGTTTCCAATCTGTTGAATTTGTACCTCGTCCATTGTTTTGCCGTAACCAATATGTTAATTCATCCATATCTTTAATATCAGTATTTTTTTTTTGATCCAATCCATTTTTGAAGGGATTTTGTCCTGTTTCCACAATTTAGCTAGAACCATTCTTGCAGCTGTGGCAAAAAAGGTGAATAGCTTCTCCTTATTTTTATCTTTAAACATATCCAAATCAAACATGTGCCTAATAGGTACATTTCTGGCACTAGTGGGAACTCCATTTTTAATATTTTTTTACATTCTATATGGATCATTCTCCAGTATTTATTTATTTTTTCACACGACCACCAAAGGTGGTAAAACGTACCCTCTTGGCTCTTACATTTCCAACATTTGTTATCAACCTGTTTGTACATAATACTTAATTTTTGTGGTGTCATATACCACCTATGTAGCATTTTTAACCAGTTTTCTTGCAGGTCAGATGCATAAGTATATTTCAATCTCTTTGTCCATATTTCTTCCCATTCTTGAAGTTGGATTGTTCTCCCAATATTTCTGGCCCATCGAATCATTGAGTCTTTTATGAATTCCCTCTCTGTCGCCCACTCTAGTATTTTACTATAAATTTTTGTTATTATCTTTTTCCCCCCTTTGTATTTTATCCCAGAAGTCATCTTTATCACCAAATCCTTTTTTGTTATCTAAATTATATACATCCTTCACTTGCCTATACTAAAACCATGATACATTTTTAAATTGTCCCATGATTTCCTCCTGTGTTTTCAGTTCATAGGTATTACCTTTTTTATATAACAAATCCTTGTACGTCGGCCATCGTGTCCAACCCAAAAGTCTTCTTTGAGTTGCCTCTAAGGGCGAAATCCATTGAGGGGTTTTCCCAAATAAGTGGTTTTTATATTTTTCCCAGACTTTTACCAATGACGATCTGATAAAATGATTTCCAAAGTTCTTTTCCTTTTGCGTCCCTTCATACCACATGTATGAATGTCATCCTCTCCTTAGATCAAAACCCTCTAATGTCAAAATTTTAATTTTGGATAATTTACTCCACTCTGTAACCCACATTAGGGCAGCTGCTTCATGGCATAATTTCAAATTTGGTAACCGAAAGCCTCCTTTTTCCTTAGGGGTGTTCATTATTGTTACATTAATTCTTGGTTTTTTGTTTTTCCAAACAAATTTCATAATGTCCTTATTCCATTCTTTAAAGTTTTTTTTATTCCTTATTATAGGGAGGTTTTGAAAAAGATAGAGCATTCTAGGCAGAATGTTCATTTTAACAGCAGCGATTCTCCCTAACATTGATAAATTTAGTCTCTCCCAATTCTCCATTTCTTTTTTAATTTCTTTCCATTTGTTTGTGTAGTTATTTTCAAGCAGTTGCAGATTTCTAGCCGTTATCCAGATCCCTAAATATTTGATTTTAGAAGCTACGTTAATTCCAGCTATTTCTTGTAGTCTTTTTTGGTTTTCACGTGTGATATTTTTGGTCAGCATCATTGTTTTAGTTTTATTCATCTTTAGGCCTGCCACTTCTCCAAATTCTTCCAATTTTTTAATCCACTTTAAAATATTGTCTCTCGGATTATCAATTATGCCTATAAGGTCATCGGCGAAGGCCCTAATTTTATATTCCTGTTTATCAATTTTGATGCCATTCAAAGAGTCGTCTTTTCTAATATCTTTTAGTAAAATTTCCAGGGCAAATATAAAAATCAGAGGCGATAAAGGTCACCCCTGTCTCGTTCCCCATCCTTATGCCAGGAGGAAAACAAAAAACTACCCTGATCCTCCTCCCCGATCTTTGGGCTGTCTTCTCAGCATTATTCTAGGAGTAGGGCGAGACAGGCAATGACTGAGAGTGCTCCAGAGAGCTCTCAGCCACTGCGTGCCTTTCTCGGGCTGTCCTCTCAGCATAAGGACAGGGCCATTGACACCGTCCTTATGCCGGGAGGAAGGCAAACCATACTGTGGCTTAGAGTACTCCAAAGGGCTCTAATCTTCTGTGTGCCTTCCTCCCCCATCCCTTCTGTATAAGGAAGTGGTGGGCCACCGAGTCCTTATGACAAGAGGACAGGGAAAATGAGGAGAGCCTGAGGTAAGCACCCAGAGGGCCATGTCTGGCCCCTGGGCCTTAGTTTGCCCATGCCTGATCTAGACCATAATGCTTATATTGCACCATGTAAATGAGAAAAGCTGTAAAAATATATCACTTCCTCTACAGAAGCTGTTGAATAAACCATGAAACAAGACCACATAAAGCCAAGAACACTCTCCCTACAGACATCAGGCAGGCGCCCTCTCTTTTGTCCTTCCGAAAAAGCCTCAAGACGTGGCTGTTCGAGAGGGCATTTAATTAAGTGCTATAGTAATGTGGTAAAGACGACTGGAATGGTACAAGGAATACGAGATTGGTCACGATTCTATTACGAGACGAAGCGGATTAGTTAGTGTAATTTTAACTGTTGTATTGTTGTATGGTTAATATGCTGCTGTACTTGTCTTTGTGTGAATTGCCTTTTGTACTGTACACCGCCGTGAGTCGCCCGAGTGGGCTGAGAATGGCGGTTAATAAATGCTCCAAATAAATAAATAAATAAATAAATAAATATGTGATATAACAATCCTCCCTATAGGGAGTGAAAGTGTGTATTATTATTTCTTATAAATAAATAGTCTATATGATTATCTCCGCTGGATAATGGAGAAAGGCAGGGAGTTTCAGAAAAAATCTACTTCTGCTTCATTGACTATTCTAAAGCCTTTGACTGTGTGGATCATAGTAAATTGTGGCAAGTTCTTGGTGGGATGGGCATACCAAGCCACCTTGTCTCTCTCTTGAGGAATCTGTACAAGGACCAAGTAGCAACAGTCAGAACTGACCACGGAACAACAGACTGGTTCAAGATTGGGAAAGGCGTACGGCAGGGATGTATACTCTCACCCAACCTTTTTAACGTGTATGCAGAACACATCATGTGATGTGCGGGGCTGGATGTATGCAAAGCTGGGGTGAAAATTGCTGGAAGAAACATTAACAACCTCAGATATGCAGATGACACCACTCTGATGGCCGAAAGCGAGGAGGAGCTGAGGAGCCTTCTAGTCAAGGTGAAAGAAGAAAGCGCAAAAGCTGGGTTGCAGCTAAACATCAAAAAAACCAAGATTATGGCAACAAGAATGATTGACAACTGGAAAATAGAGGGAGAAAATGTGGAGGCCGTGACAGACTTTGTATTTCTAGGTGCAAAGATTACTGCAGATGCAGACTGTGGCCAGGAAATCAGAAGACGCTTACTTCTTGGGAGGAGAGCAATGTCCAATCTCGATAAAATAGTAAAGAGTAGAGACATCACACTGGCAACAAAGATCCGCATAGTCAAAGCCATGGTATTCCCTTTAGTAACCTACGGATGTGAGAGCTGGACCTTAGGGAAGGCTGAGCGAAGGAAGATAGATGCTTTTGAGCTGTGGTGTTGGAGGAAAGTTCTGAGAGTGCCTTGGACTGCGAGAAGAACCAACCAGTCCATCCTCCAGGAAATAAAGCCCGACTGCTCATTGGAGGGAAGGATACTAGAGACAAAGTTGAAGTACTTTGGCCACATCATGAGGAGACAGGAAAGCCTAGACAATTATGCTGGGGAAAATGGAAGGAAAAGGAAGAGGGGCCGACCAAGGGCAAGATGGATGGATGGCATCCTTGAAGTGACTGGACTGACCTTGAAGGAGCTGGGGGTGGTGACGGCCGACAGGGAGCTCTGGCGTGGGCTGGTCCATGAGGTCACGAAGAGTCGGAGATGACTGAATGAATGAACAACAACAACAACATGATTATAAAAGCATTACATTTTTTTTAAAACACCATGTCTGAATGTATGCTAAAGGGACTGTTAATGGAACTTACCTACTTGACAATACTGATAATTACAGACTGGGGTGGCATTAGGCCCAAAGTAGCATCATAACAGTAAACATTAAAGAACTTCAACTATATACCGGTTAGCTAGCAAGCAACAAAGAAGCATCAGAGATGGGGTCAGGGGGGACTGCACCTGTTTCAATTTGTTTCAAGGTTGAAAATTTTATGGGTAGCACTGTATTATGTTACTATGTTAATACTATACAGCTTAATGGTTATATGCAAATGTATCTGAAGTTCAGCAAACAATAATAGAATTTTCCTTTTTCAAAGTGGAAGTTTAATTTGATGCAAGTAAATTTGGTGGAGCAGACTTAAGTTGTACAGATCAATATAGTTGTTGATTCATGCTTAGTTAATTCTATGCAGACAACACATATATAAATTATAAAACTACAGCTTGAGAATTAACAGTGCTAAAAAGCTAATGCCAAGTCTTTGGGATGAAACTCTGTACACCTCATATCACCAGTTAAGGATAGAAAAATAATCATTTCTGTACTAAAAGTGCCTTGAAAGAACATTGGAAACAGTGAAAATGATGCAATCGGCTTTCATTGAATCTGGGCTGTATTCTCAACACATGTTCAGCAAATAAAAATGGAATCTTGTTTCAATTTTTTAATTTGCGCCAAGTTTAGTTCAAATCAATCACTGCCAAAACTATGGCTGAATTACTTTTGATTACATACTTCACATTATACATTACAAGAAACACATAAGGATAGCAGGGAAGTTCATTAATTTCTCATTTAATGTCTACTTAATTTAATTTATAGGCTTATTTTAACCCTTCCCTAATCAATCAATGAATCAGAATGTAGTGAACCTTCTTTGTTATTACTTGTCCAGGTGTTCTGAAGCTGTCTCTGAGGAAGAAACATATACCACCATCATTTCCTAACAAAAACCCCCACCTATTTGTAAAAATATAAAAAAGATGCATTGTGATAGAAAAGAAGTATTTGCAAGCATGCATATATATTGTGCTTTGATGTATTTTTCATGATATTCTATGGTTTTCATGGCCTTGCATTCTTTATAGTTCCATGGAGTGGCATCACGTTCCAGTATCGTACAGGAAAAAACTCTATGAGGATAAAGATGATGGCGAGTTTTGGTATGATCACCATTAAAAAACTACTTTTTCTAGACTTTTCATTGCAATATAGTCAAGATCTCCAAGCGTAAAAATAGGGGTGGGTAAGAATGTTGTTTAGTTCATTTTTCATATGTAAGAACATATCAATTTTTTTAACTTTTTCCATAAATGTATACAGTGGTTTTCAACCTCTGGGTCCCCAGGTGTTTTGGCCTACAATTCCCAGAAATCACAGCTGTTAGGATTTCTGGGAGTTGAAGGCCAAAACATCTGGGGACCCACATGTTGAGAATCACTGCTATAGAAGATATTTCAGATTTTAAGAAGTCAAATGTTGAAGAAAACATAACAGAGAAATGATCAGAATTTTGAAATTTTACTTTTGAGGACTATAATTCCTAAAATCAATTATTCAACATAGTCAGATTTCCAAATTTTGGATACACATACAGGCTGTGTGTGAGAGAAATCTTTTAGGAAACTATTCATGTTGTGTTGTGATAAGATGAAAGGGATAAAGGTATTTTGTAACACAGTAGAATTCAGTAGCTTGCAGCATATTTGGGGGGATATTTTTAATTACTTTTTTGAAGAAATTGAGAAATAATTACTTTCAATACTACATTACTACTTTGAGTTTGAATTCTAAGTAGTAGACTGTAGTCTGTGAAGTTTTTTCTGAGTAAAGGGTGCTTTTTTTGACCAGGATAAACAATTTCTACTAGTCTTTTTAATGCATTTCATTAGAATTCTATAAATTCCACTTTTCTTTTCTAAAAATACCTTTGTAGTCCACATGTCTGCAGATGTGGACTGAAAAGGTAATATAAACTTGCAGAGATTGTAAAATAGACACTGTACAATATCCTTGTTGAGTCATTTATCTGGAGTTCTCTAAAAAACAACCCAAATCAAGTTTAGAAGTAATTGCATTTCAACAACAGGAATTTGACTGGAATAAAGCATCTCATCTTTTATCAGGATATCTTATAAAGATTTCAGAGAAAACTTTTCATTCCTGATTATTTGCAATGATGTGCCAACATGTCTGGACTCTGGAGAACAGAGGAACACTACTTGGTCTGTGGAAAAACATGTCAACACGTTTTCAGGAGCCTCTCTAGGAAACAGTTATTATGAAGGTAAAATCGCCCTAACCTTCTCTTAGTAATTTCCTTAGCTTTAAATCAATTTCTAAGTAATAAACAATACTCAGAATCTAAACTGGAAAAATAAGTGTTAAAATGAATGAATGCTTTATCTTTCCTTGTTCCATAGACATCAGTCAAGGCATAGTAGAAGACTATATATTAATAGAAAGAAAAATACAGATCTTGGTTTTACAACTCAATAGACCTCAATTGTGTAAGCTAGTTTGGTGTAGTTTTGTGTATTTAGACAAAGACTTTTGGAGAAGCATTCATTTATAGTATGGAGTAATGTAACAAAAGCAGTCAAAGGATACATTACAAAGTCTGATTGAATAATATCAATGAAACATCAGGGGGAAACCTTCAATATAACCATAATCCAAGTTTGTGCTCCAAGGCAGCAGAAGAAGACATCTGAAGATTCTGTGTTGGAGTCTAGGAGAAAAATGGATCATGTACCAAATCAGGAATTCTTTTTAACCATAGGTGACTGGAATACAAAAGCAGGATGCAGAGCAGACTCAAGGGTTGTAGGAAAAATTAACCTAGGATCAAGAAATAAAGCAGAAGAGTGACAGAGCCCCAATCTACACTGAGCATTTAATACAGTTGATAAAAAGTGTTTCAAAAGTCAATATTAAATTAGGGGCACTGACATTTCATTTCTAAAGTGTTTCTAAAGTATCGTTAGTAAAAATTTCATTACTATAACAAGGGTAACAGAATTTTGTCACTTCTTCATTATAGTAATAGAGCAAGTGGGGAAACTTCAGGGGCTCCTTTCTCTCTCATTTTTAGAGATATTGGGGTGAAACTTGCTACAATGGTAGAACACATTTACTACGGTTTGCCCATTAAGTTTCAGAATGTTTCACTTATCCACAGATCTTTGGGGAGTTTTCAACATTTGTATAAATATCATTTTTAAAAGAAAACGACAAGAGCATCTCCTTGAATTTTCTATACAATGACACAAGATAATGGGATCATTTCCCTCAACTTTTGGAAGTATTCATACATCTACTGATTTTAAGGATATTTTAAAAAGTTTTGACAAGAACGTGTTTTTTTTAAAGCCTGCAATAGGTATCTCATTGAATGTCTCTCATATAGAACTTCCATTTAGGGATTTTTTTTTCCCAGCCTATAACCAAGATTTACTTATCAGAAGTATCAGTCAGTCCTCCTCTTTGCAGATTCAACAATTTCTTGGAACTCTGTCTGGCTGTTGCTACAGAGGGATAAATCTCTCCTCTAACGGAAAAATTGCACACCCCTAATGATCGGTGTAGACTCCTATAGTTAGTTTTACTTCATTGAACTATATTGAACTGCATTATATGAGACTACACTGACCATACAGTGCAGTTTGAACGGCATTAAATAATCAGTGTAGATGGGGCCTGATTAAATTTCATAAGGCCAATCATTTGTTCATCACAAAAACATTCTTCTAGCAAGCAAAGAAACAAATATATATATGGACAACACCCAATGGCTAATATAAAAATGAGAACGATGAAGAACCTCAGCTCTCAAGGAAGAATAAGAGACATTTTCCACAAGATCTGTGATATCAAAAGGAAATTTAAATCAAGAATGAGATCACTACATGATTAAGCAGAAACAAAAAGACGACAGATGCATATATTGAAGAAAAATTTGAAGAGAAACCTACACATTTAGAAAGGAAAGTCAAAGCTGCATTCAGAGCACTTTGAAGATATAAATCACCAGGAATAGATGGCATACCAATAGAGCCACTTCAAGCTACAAAAATATGAAAAACAAAACAAATTGGAAATGCTTAATACAATCCCCAAGAAAAGGGGTACAAGGGATTGCAGTCACCGCAGTGCTATTGCATTTTTTTCCCATGCAAGGAAAGTGGTGCTCAGTATTCTATAACCAATAATTTTATCTCATGTGGAGAAAAAAAATCAGAACAAAAGAAGCACTAGGAGTCAGATTGCAAATGTACATTGGATAATGGAACACATCAACAAATTTCAGAAGAAAATTGGCATGTGCTTAATAGATTACAGCAAAGCATTTGTTATTGTAGATCATGAAGAACTATAGATTGCTCTTAAAGAAATGGATATGCCACTACATTGGATTATACTGATGCATAACCTGTACTCAGGATAAGAGGTTGCTACTAAAATAGAATACAGAAAAATTGAGTGGTTTCCAGTTAGCAAGAGGGTCATGAAAGACTGTATTTTATAATTTCCCTATTTAGCTGGTATAATGAATACATGCATGCACACACATATGTATGTAAAGTAGGAGTAGATTTGGAGGAAGGAGGCCTGAAAAAATGGAGGAAGGAACACCAAAAACTTAAAATATGCAGATGACATCATATCACTAGCATAAAATATCAAAGCATTACTTGTAGGACTATTGAAGAATATCAAGTAAGAAAGGGAAAAGGCTATTGTGGCCAAGGTGGTTGAGGGATTCTGGAAGTTGCATTTTTAATACTGTTGATATCATCATTGTCATTTTAATTTACATTCTACCTTGGTGACTTACATTTAAAATAAATGCAATTAACTATGAAAAGTGAACTAGGATGCATCTACCCTATGGAATTACTGTAGTTTGACACCACTTTAACTGCCATGGTTCATTGCTATGCAATCTTGGGATTTGTAGTTTGATGAGGCGCCACCATTATTTGGAGGAGAAGGTTAAAGACTTTGTAAAGCTACATCTCTCATAATTCCATAACACTGAGTCATGATAGTTAAAGTGGTGCCAAATTGCATTAATTCTATAGTGTAGATTCACCCTAAGTCAAACATCTCTTCCAAGTTCTGCTACTTTCCAGGTCATATGAGTTCTAGTACTTTTTATATATCAACACTTTTAATGTTGTTTTTTTGTGAGTTTTCCAGGCTGTATGGCCATGTTCCAGAAGCATTCTCTCCTGCTTCTGGAACATGGCCATACAGCCTGAAAGACTCATAGCAACCCAGTGAATCTGGCCATGAAAGCCTTCGACAGATTCTTGACTTTTCGCAATTGTGCTGGGTACTGGGTAGGTACTAGAGAGACAGACACCCTGAAGGATAGCATGTTACCTTGCCTCTCCCAGGAACCCTGAACATGTTTAGCAAAGGTAACTGGTACTTTCCAAATCAATAGAAGCTTTCCGGATTTTAGTTTGAGTAATAAAGGAACTATCCAAGGTGGTGAACCACTTTCCTCAAAGATATAGAGCATTTGGAAGCTAAGCCCTGATTCAAACTTGTGGGGGAAGTTTCCTCTGAAATGGTGTTGCGGACTATATTTCAGAGGAAGGCAATGGAAAACCACTTCAGCATATTCATCATTGAACAAAATTCTATGATATTCATGGGGTTGACAGGCAAGTTGCAAAAATACACACAGGTATACACACCCACACAGCTATATACACTTTGGATAACTCATTTAATGCACAGACTATAACTTTGAGTGGTTTCCCTGTACTACCCACATGGAATCCACTAGCCACCATGGCATGTGTGTGTGTGAGTGGAAGAAGACATCGTAAAACAGATAAATAAGAAATGAGGTCTTCATATATGCAAGCTAGGTTACACATACCTGATAACCAAACTCATTATTCTCGTTATAGATAGCCTTTCCAGAAATCCTCAATATTTCATCCAGGTGCCAGAGCCTGAAATGAAGAACTACAATCTTGTAGTAGCACTTTCACAGGATCCTAGAAATGATACGGACAGAGTGCACATCGGCTTTATAATTGTTAGGGTAAGTAATACCAGTTAACTTTTTTTAAAATAATAAATATATTCCTCTGTATCCAAGGTAAATGTCACAAATGATTTTCCTCTCTTTCCTTTCCATTCCTACAACCATTAGAAGATTTTCTCCTCTATCATCTTGCTTTATAGAGAACAAGAGTTGTGATGGCAGCAACAACAATAGTGATAGTGCTGCTGCAGCTGTTGCTGACAGACAGAAAAAACTAACAGGGACTGGCTTCCTAAAATGAAATTGTATCCACCCAGGGAGAAAGCAACTACAGTCTCAGGTGTGTAAGCTTCAATCTAAGAAGCTTCACTGCTGCTCATGAGCATATTTCCTTAGCTGTGCTTGAGTGTGTAGGCACTTTTCTTTCCACATTTTTTTTTGCCAGATTATGGCATAGGTTCATTTAACAATCTCTCTTCCCCCTGTATCATCTAACTTTTTTAAAAAAAATGTGGTGGGTAGTGCAGCCTTCCCAAGTCCAGTGGGAGTAATCTGTGCAGCCCCTGGACTTTGGAATTGGAAGTAAACTTGAAACATTGGAAACTTAAGTGAGACCTGTGGCAAAATGTTGCTGTGTTTATTGAAGTTTCAGCTGCTCACTGCACTCCATCACTTTTCTCTACCCCCCCCCCCCCAAACAGATACAGTAATAAATAACTGAGCATTGCCCATTGCTCAGTCTCAATTTCTTCTGTGGAAAGGATTGCTATTGCTTTAGTACCTGTGTTTTTTTTTAATATAAAAAATGGTACTTTTTTTCCAAAAAACGTCAAGTACCTTGACCAAACTGTTGTTTTTCTATGGGTGGTTATGGCTATCATTCTGTTGGAACACAGTTCAGATTTACTCATTTTATTTATTTACCATATTCTGGTTGTATACTGCAAGTTGCTTCTGGTGTGAGAGAATCAGGCATCTGCAAAGACGCTGCCCAGGGGATGCCCATATGTGTCACACTCCGGTGGGGAGGCTTCTCTTATGCCCCCCATTAAAGGACATTTAATATAATGCCAAGTTTTTAAACTTTGTGGGGTTTTAAAAATACATTACAACAGTACCCTTGGTTTGCTTCTGATACGATAAATAAATACCTACCCACCCTTTTCAACCCCACGGGGGACTCAGAGCGGCCTTACACATCAGCAACAATTTAGCTATTCATATTGCAAATATGAATCTGGTTTGCAATATGAGATGCAGGGTACAGTTGTAATTCATTTCAGTAGCAACATTAAACCGTAGTAACAAGTTTTGGAACTCAAGTCTTGCATATCTGTTTTAGAATTTGAGTGTTTATACAACTTGTTTCCTTAGAGCTCTTTTTTGCTCAGTAGATATCATCAATAGGATGGTTAGATCAACAGCTTCAAGTAACTTCTTGTGGAAGGAAGGCCTTATAGTCGTTACAGAGCTATTCCAAAAAACCATTTATAGACTCAGAGTGTTGAAAAATTATTGTTAAGAACACAATATCAAACCCAATATACTAAGCAAGCATGTAGAAAATAGCTGGAAGAATAAGACAATGAGCCATACATTTCTGTATACTTAAAGTTATCCTTCTTTCTCTAATCTCACTGGATTTACCCTGGAGAAGGGATAGGAATCAGGAAGCCCATAGGATAATGTAGCTCCCATCACCCTCAGCCAGCATACTCAGCCAGCAGTGAGGGTTGCTAAAACTTGCAGTTCAACAACAGCTATAGGCCTGCATGATTTTCAATCATTTTGTAGAGCAGAGATCCTCATTTTTTAAAAAACAGAGGACCAAGTCGTCATCCCTCAGACTGTTGGGTGGGCAGACCAAAATCTGAAAAAAAGAAGAAAAAACCATGATCAAATTCCTGTGCACACAGTACATATCTTATTTGGAGTACCAAAAAAGGAATGAACAATACAATATTTAAAATGAAGAACAAGTTTAACAAACACAAACTTACCAGTATTTCAGTTGGAAATATGGGTCTGCTTTTGGGTGATGTGATAGTCAAGTTAATTAGGATTGTTGTTGTTGTGTGCTTTCAAGTTGTTTCAGACTAAGAGTGACTCTATGTCTAAATTTTAGGGTGGGGACAGTAAATGACCCTGGAGGGTGACATCTGGCCCAGGGGCCTTAATTTGGGGACCCCTGTTGTAGAGTAACTAGTTTCATTATTACAGTTTAACTCCCTTTGGCATCACATTAGTTATCATGAAGGCTACAGTCACAGAATAATTATTATGGTTCCACTATTTTTCATCTCTAGATTTATTTTTAGCTTTACATCAACATTGCTGTTAGGTCAAATGGCAAATGTTCTCCTTAAGGCAAGAATAGCATAATGTTCCAAATATAGTAATTAGTTGCTACTTTCTTTTAGATGAAGAGAATGCCATTTTAGTTCCAGACCATTACATTTCAACCAATAGGAAGTTAAATTAATGAGATTTAAACCATACAGTAGTGCTTAGAACAAAGAGTATGAAATGGTTGCATCTCCCCCATGACAACCAGTAAAAGTTGTCAAGGAAGTACAAACATTTCCCATTTGATCTCTCCTGGTTTGCTTTGTTTTTGTAAAAGGCCTGTCCTGAATTTTATTCTATTCAGGGATACTAAAAGTATGGCAAAATGCCTGCGAACATTGAGAGTCACAGGAGGAGCAGGCAACATATATATGCATGTACATTTGTACACACTGGGGCCCTCGGGTCTAAAAAAAAATTCCAGGAGGGGATATGCTAGCCTATGGCCATTCTTTGTCCACTTCAATACAGAACATAGAAAACCTCCAAAATGTAGACAGAAATATCACAAATCTAAGTAGTGGTTTATGTCTCAGCTAAGGTACTGTGTTGCCACAGCCTTGTAGTTTTGTGGCTTTGTATGTTAAATACTACTGTGGCATTCTAGTCATGGAGAAGAGATGGCAAGAAAAAGCATTTGCACAGAGTAAACAGGAAATGCTATCTGATCCGAGAGAGTTATAATTAGCACTAAAATAATTAATTGAGTAATCAATATGGTTAATTTATTCATTAAGCACAGATTTAAAATGTGTGCTTTTAATTAGATCTTAACTGGACTATCCCCTGAAAGGATGCTTAGCGCTAATGGCATCCTTGTAAATATTCTGTGGCTAGGGTCTCAGGAGCACTTTAAAACGGGGGCGAAAAATCTAAACTGCATTGAATTTCACACTTACTAATGTGGCAAAACCTATGTTTAAACAACATTACAATCTATGGCCAGGGTTTTTGTAGAAACATATGCTCACATTCGTTTACCTTACCCTTGTAGGGGCCCCTTATCAAGTGCTGCTGGGGCTGGTATTGTCTTCTTTTCTCCATAGCGCCCCCCCCCCCCAAACTTACTGATAAGCTTCCATAGTCATTCTCTGCTTTGAAGAGAGTGGGCTGGCTTGGAAAAGTGTTTGACTATATCTTCATAGTCAGATCTGAAAAGATCATACCAATGTTGAGATCCCAGGAGGATCAATGTCATCGTGTCAGACTATGGAGATGTAGCCATGTACTTCTCTGGTCCTTGCCAATTGCCATGTAAGTGCAAAATGGTCATGTGAAATGACTTTATGGACTTGTTAATATGTCGATATATGACTCAGCATAGTGTAGGTCCAAATGTTTTTATGCTATGCTTATGGGATGCAGGACTGAGAATTGATCTGCAATGGAGGACCTTGTCTGAGAATCCTAACACTGTTGATGTGACCACGCTGCTTAGGCAGAAAATGCACAGGAAAAAATATATTTTACATTTCAGCTGAAATTTCTCTCCCCACTTCCCCATCCCCATAATTTAACTTATTTAATAGGTTCTAGACTCTGAGTGTTAATATCACAGGTCTAGATGTTCATTATTATGTTTTCTTTTCTCTCTTTCAGGTTACATCACAGGTAAGTTACTTGTTTTCATTTTCTTTTATTGGATTATTGGCCACTTCTTATGGATGAGTGCAGGTTTTAATACAAAACCTTTCCCAAGATTGTAATGTAAGCCTTTGGCATCTAGTTGTTAATGTAGATGACATCTTGGCTAGGTTTCTTCTTCAGTAATCAAATATAGCTTTAAAAAATCAGATGGAACTAGAAATAATTTCTTTCCCAAAGAAACATTTTAGACCCTTTGAGAACCTAAAGATTGTGCCTTGAATCTGTTTAAATATGTGGTTTTTAAAAGTTAACTTATGTAACTTATTTACTATGCAGACACATTTAAACATTGTTCTGTCTGTATGCCTTTCTGAGAGCTTAATATATAGGATGAGATAGAACTATATAAATAACACTATTTGGACTATTCATTATCTTCTTGGTGTGCTGAGCATTTGAGCTTGCCTACACCAGCCAGAAGTCAAACCTGGATGTTCAGATGATGTCCGGAGACTTTTAGTCCATAACACTGGGCAAAATAGACTGAGCCAGTTTAGCTCCACATTCAACAAAATCAAACCTCTGGAGCAGCCCTGCACTTTGGAGTGAGTGTAGACAGCAGACTAACTCCAAGGGAAACTGCTTTGCTGTTCACATGGGTATCCCTTTCACTGTCTTTGGTGGTGTATTGAAAGTGGAATGGATCAGGACTATGCCTTCCCCTTTACCACAGTGGTTGACTGGGGAGTCTCAGTTTTGTGAACATCTTTGTTGATATCAGCAAAAGTATCCAGAGACAGACAAGAGCTCTTTGGAGCTCTCCAGATGGTTGCCATGGCAATAATAATAATAATAATAATAATAATAATAATAATAATAAATTTATATCCCGCACCTATCTCAACAAGTGGACTCAGGAAATGGCACCAATGGTTTTGGCCTTTTCATATTCCCCCTCTCCACCACTGCCATTGGTCAGGGGTGGAGTTTCTGAAGAGCCCCGTGGCGTCTGGGGCCAGTCCAAAGCATTTCTGTTCCAGACTGGCCCCAGATTGTGGTATGGGTCTAGATGAGCCCTCTGTCTTTTCTCTACATCCCTTTCCTAATATGTTTTAACTATATTATACCTCCTCCTCAAGCTTTGAGGAGAGGTGAGTAAGAAATAAATAAATAAATAATAATAATAATAATAATAATAATAATAATACATTTTAATCAGGTCAGAGAATATAAAGAGTTTACTATGGTAATAATTAAAATTTAACCATATTTGTCTTTGTGGCAGTCATCAAGAAGAAAAATAATTAGAACCTAATGAAATTAATGAAGAAGTCTTACCTTAAAGGTTTTCTTAAGGTACGGGGGTAGAATTCTGGTGGAAGGGAAATTGACAGATGGAACAGGACTGGGACAAGGCAGGAGAAACCATATCTTAAGTAAATAAATAGAAGGACGGCTATGTGCTAAATGTGGAAGGTCAGAGAATTGGCTCTAAAAGTAAATCGATAATTATTGATCCAAGAAAAACAAACATCTGAAGATATGGTACAACAGCGCCATCTATCCTCCATCTGATGTAAATAGCAGGTAATTCAGTCCTATGAACAATCCTACATAAGTAAGAATATAGGAAAATGATGTGAAAGTAATTACAGAAGAATTAATAAGGGAAATGCTTGCTTTGAATAAGTTAAAGATACACATATGAAGATGTATGGAGTCATATATATATGTGTGAAGAGATATATGAAGTTAAGATTCACTTTTATGTATCTCATCTGGGAATGTGTCTGGTCAGCTGATGAAAGGGGAGCAGTGGAAATTATAATATCTTGCCAAACAAGTGTTCTTGGCTGCGATTCCTCGAGGACAAACTGATATTGATTAGATTGTGTAAATGTCAAGAGAATTATGCGCATGTGCAAACTAAGTAATTCTGCCTATAAATACTGGATGCTTTTGGGGTAGTGCTCTGTGCCACATCAGCCATGTTGAAGCTGGGGCACCCTTACCCGGGGTAAGCAATAAATTCTGTGAACTTGCAACAGCTGTCTCTGTCTCTTCCTTCTTCGCTGATCTCTCGGAATCTTGGAAAACGGGGACACACCCGTAACATCTTTATTTTTGTGAGCTTCTTTGAGTTTCAGGATTTTGGGGAAAAATCAAGATATAAATTACACAAAGAGAGAGAGAGAGAGAGACAGAGACAGAGACAGAGACAGAGAGACAGAGAAATATAATACTAATAATACAAATGTTTCTTGTGGATGAGTAGCTATCTTTCATGGAAGTACTAGACAAGGGCAATTAAGATTTGCTTTTCATGTCATTTAGGCCTTGCTAAAGCTCTTGATCTTTACATCTGCCCAAAAAATCTCAAACATATAAATTTAGTTGGTGGGCTTCACTGGAGGGAAAGTGAAACAATAATTTTCTGCATATGTATATTACTGCCAAATATCAATGCCATAGTCTAATAGAATAGATTTTTATTTCTGGTAACAGTCATACAAATTAAATCATGTTATAAAGACATAAGGTGACCAGTTAAAAATATCCCTGACATAATAATGGCATTCTAAGTGTCCAGGACAAAAGAATCACATGAAAGGTGTGATTACTTTCAAATGGCTATTTCCATCTAGGTTTGTTGATTTTTTAATGCATTATATTTTTAAAAATTCAGGCACCTCTTACATACCCCTTTAAAATTCAACTCTTTTATATCTGTTCACGATAACAGCTTATATTCTCTTTTTCCCCCCTTCAAAAAGGCATGGCTCATAAATTATTGTGCCACTGTGTGTAACCATTCTAAATGGGATTTATACACTCCAGTGTATTTGTAAGAATATGTTTAGTCAGGTTTTTTTTATTATGCTGTCTTTACATGTCATCACCATAATAGCTGTTGCATTTTATTTATTGTTATATCTTGATGAAAATATTGGAACAGCAACAAACAAGACAGGCTGTGTTACGTTCTAATGGTAATGGATGTAAGGTTCCCTGTGTTCAAGAAAGTACTAAAGATGTAAACAGAATCTTCCAAAAGATTTCCAAACTGTCTTGGTGACAATCCTGAGCCTTTTTGTAGGTTACATACAATGCAATCCTATGCATATCTACCTGAAAGTAAGTCCTAGCCTGTTCAACTCATTTTTCTTCCAGGTTAACACATGTAGGACTGTACTGTTGTATTCCTTTATGGGGCCTTAAACACTACACACAGACTAGTTCAGTGTTCATTTCAGGATGAAAAAGAGGTAGTCCCACAAAAGGCTGTAAACACTTATTTTTCCATTTCAAATTCTTATGTTCTATGGACAAATAAATTGGATGAGGATGCTCATCATGGTTAATTATTTGAGCTTGGTAGGTCATTTCCTCTTTATTGAATCTTAGGGCAAAACCATAGTTAACTCTACAAAGCTTCAGCCACAGCGAGATGTTGTTAATTGCTTTTACTTGAGCCCTGGGACTTACATCATTATTCCAACTACAACGCAAGAAGGTGAAGGGACTGAGTTCCTCCTACGAACCTTTCTAAAGAGTCGGAACAATTTCAGGTAATTTTTTGTGTGAATAAAACACAAACTGGAGTAACTAGAAAGAACCAAATCTTCTTACAATTATAATGAGGGGCATTTGACCCTTTAGATCAGTGGTTCTTAACTTGTGAGTCCCCAGATGTTTTGGCCTTCAACTCCCAGAAATCATTACAGCTGGTAAACTGACTGGGATTTCTGGGAGTTGTAGGCTAAAACACTTGGGGACCCACAGGTTGAGAACCACTGATCTAGATCTTTGTTCACAACTGCAATGTCAATCGTTCTCAACCTATGGGTCCCCAGATGTTTGATTTAAACACGGGTTCTCAAACTTTTCCATTTTGAAACAAAAGTTTATCATGAAGCTTCAAGAAATGTTTATATATTATATTATATATGCTTTGTGTGTGTGTGTGTGTGTGTATCAGGCATAGGCCGGGCCAGTGGTAGATGGATGGAGAGAGTATTTTTGTGAACTAATTCACACAGTGCAAAAAAGGAAAGAAAAAACAATATAATATTGAAAGTGAAGAGCAATTTTAACCAACATAAACATAACAGAATTTCAGTGGGATACCACAAAGGCCATACAGTCCAACCCCCTTCTGCCATGCAAGAAAAACACAAACACTCCCTGAGTGGTGGGAAGAAAATAGAAGTTTAGAAGCAAAGAAAATGGGGGAGGGGGGAAAGAGGAGGATGTGACCAGCAAGAAAAAGTCTGTGCAGTGAGGGATGTGGGGGGTGGGGAAAGGGTTTGTGCCCTGGGATGAACCTGTTGCTGTTTCTAGCAGCTCAAAACTTTAATTTTCCTGCATTTCTCAGGAGGAGGAAAGAAGAGGAGGTGGGAAGCAGCATGGTGCTGGGGAGTCCTTCACTATCACCCACGGAGCCCCAAGGGTTCCACGGAGCACAATTTGAGAACCCCTGATTTAAACAACTTCCAAAATATTTATTAGATATTTTATCGGTTTTTGTAGACTCTGACATTTATTCAGAGATGTCCTACTTGACAATGCCATTTAGTTCCAGTATTTGAGAGTTGATAATGGACAGTGTTTGATATTACATACAGCAGCAGATTACATTTGACAGATGACAAAACATGAAGTTGCTAATCTGACACAAAGATTCCTTGTTAGAAATCCCAACACAATTCTCTCAAAAAATGCTTGGCTTTTGTATAGTAGTGTGTGTTATCAGATAATGAGATACTCTGTCACATCTACACGAAAGAACAAAGGCAGAGAATTAATAGATGTGATCTCCTGATTACATCATAAGGCGTTAAGAACAAAGTAAAACTAGACTTGCTTCATCATAGATGAAACCCAACTAGTAAAATGAGCACTACAAGCAGTCCCCAAGTTACAAACAATTTTTTAGATTTGTTCTTAAGTTTAATTTGTTTGTAAGTAGGAATAGGTACATTTTTAAGTGCAACTCCACTTTATATAGCATAGGGAAGGCTTAACACTCCTGGTGTGTTTGCTTTAATGTCTGTGTCCCTGTTCAGAAGATTTCACCTCACGTCTTGTCCCTGTGACAATTGGATTTTGAAAAATCTGGCGTGTTGTGGAAACAAGGACTGGTGACAAAGTTTCAGTTGAGACAGCTTTTCCCCATAATAACTCTTCCAGGCATGAATTTCCCTTCCTAGAGATAGATTTCTCTCACTTCCTGTTGCCTCACCCCCGTTCTTCACTATGAGTCATTTGCAAGTCAGATGTTTGTAACTCAGGAACTGCCTGTACAGGCAAACTTGAACCCATCATGACTGGTTCCTGCAAATGCCTAGGATTTGCTATGGAGGATTGTGAGGTCCCCTGGGCAGGTGAGGTGGATTCAAGAAGCAGGGCACTAGGGGGAAATCTTATTCTACATGGAAACAAGCTGACTCGGACCCCTTCTTCACTGCATTATATAATCACTGAAGACACATCTCACGTAGTTTAACCGCTTTATATGAGTCTACACTGACCTTATAATTCAGTTTCAAACTGCATTTTATGGCAGTGTAGATGGGATCTCAGTCTTCAGAAGATTTCTAAGAGTTCTTTTTCTTCTGTTGAGGTTTTCATGGATGAGTATGAGTTCATATTCTTAGGATTCTAGGAAACCAGTGTCAGAATCATGGCTGAAACATGGAAACCCACTGGGTCACATTTTCTCAGTTTCAGAAGCAGCCAATGGCATCCCATCGTATGAACAAATCTTGCCAGGAAAACCCTGTGATGGATTGCCCTAAAATCAGTTTATGTCTGAAACAACTGGAAAGTACAAAACAAGAGACTTGGATAGAATAAAGAGCTTTTCCATAGCTTGAGGGAGTATAAAAGCACTAGTTCCACTGTGTAATTAACTGGTTATATTATTAAGTTCTACCAGTCAGTCTTCTGGTGGTAAATGGTCTTCTTCCTTGAATGGTTCCTGTGTACAAACATTTCCCCAGTACCTCTCCTTCAATCTTCACCCTAATCCAGCAATCACAGTTGCCTCAGGTTCATCACCTCCGGTGACACTCCAGTCATTATCACTCTTTCTTGAAGACTGCCTCCTTTTGCTTTGAGATCTATTTAAGCCCTGGCCTTGAGCAATCTCACTCCTTGCCTGCAAACATCTCCCAGCCTTTGCTTCTTCGACATTTTTAAAGCTTCTTTGAACCACATTGTATTGCTTCTAATTGTTTCCCTTCTTCCACTATTTGAGTGTGTGCTTTGAAATCGACTGTCAAGTTAGATGACTCCTGCCTTCTTCCCCTTTCACTTTCTTCTCCCTGTGTGTGCTTTTATATACCCTCCAGTCAGAAACCTCAAATCCATCTGATTATTAAAGGGTAGAATTCCATCCCCTCAACTGATTTCAAATAAGAAAACAATAGATGAATACAGAATGTTGTCATTTGTGCCAGTCACAGAACAGGCCACTTTTTGATTCTATTGATAGCCTGTTCATGCATTAAAGATGTTAAATGGGAAGCGGAGATTGTGCTAGTTTCATTTTCACTCTTGTTGCTTTTCTCATTGTTTTCCTTACATATAGAAATCTCTAGATAAGTGCTAATTATTTATTATTTATTTATTTGCAGCATTTATATTCCTTCCTTCTCAGCCCACAGGGACTCAGGGCGGATTACAGTGTACACATATATGGCAAACATTCAATGCCAATTTTGACATACAACACTCAGAGGCTCAGAGGCTATTTATTCTCAGAGGCTATTTAACTTTTTCTGGCCACCAGGGGAGCTGTCGCTTTCATCGTCCATCTGCAACACTGATGAAGTACTTCCACATTCCCCACATGCTTTTTTGCTGGAGTGCTTTGCTGGAGTCTTTTTTATGGCCTCATAAATTAGTTAATTTAGCCTCCCCACACTTCAAGGTGGTACCTAATTTTCCTACTTGACAGATGCAACTGTCTTTCGGGTTGCAAAGGTCGACAACAGGCTACACAATTGGTTGGAAACCCACTCCAACCCGGGCTGGCTTTGAACTCATGACCTTTTGGTCAGAGTGATCTTAATGCAGCTGACACTCAGCCAGCTGCGCCACAATCCCGGTGCATCTATACTGTAGAATTAATGTAGTTTGACACCATTTTAATTGCCCTCGCTCAATGCAATGGAACCCTGGGAGCTGTAGTTTAAAAAGATCTTTAGCCTTCTCTGCCAAAGAGTGCTGGTGGCATCACCAGATTAAAAGTCCCAGAATTCCAAAGCATTGAGCCATGGCAGTTAAAGTAGTGTCAAACTGCATTAATTTTACAGTGTAGATGCACTTGATAATGGAGATTCAGGATCCCCAATCAATGAAGGTAGCTATGAATTGTTGAGCTAGTTCGGAAGCACAGGGCTAAAAAGCTATCACCGCCCAAGACTGCAGCTGCTTTATGTTTTTTCCCTCCACCAAAAAAATCCTTGAGGAAAGAATCATAAAGTTTCACAATAATCACATCACATACAAAGTTTTTTAAAAAATGTAACTGGCAGAATCTGCCAGCCAGCATGATCCCAAAAGGTAGCTTTTCTGAACTCTGCTTGTGATGCCTCCTATGTAGTATTCTGGCACAATGACTAGAACAACACAGCTTTTAGACACCCTGCAGAACTAGGGGAAAACCAGTGGTAGGCCTGGAGCTTTGCCAACAAATCATATATACTCTTGTAAATAAATCAGTTGTGTTACTAATACCTGTGTACAGCCTGAATTCAGTACTCTGGATTTAAAATTCAGCGTGCTGTGCTTGCTTGACAGGGAGTACAATGAAGATCTTTTGTTCTGTCCTAATGCATTTCTCATTTTTGTAGTTTTGATCCCACTCCTAGAGATGAAAAAAATGAACTCCCTCCAGCAGTAAAGGTATGTAGATCTGTAAAGTCTACAGTGTTTATGAAAACTTGGGCAATTAATTTATGAGTTTTTGAGCTAGCAGTAGTTCAAGCTTCTTACCCTGCAATGAGCAACAGGCCCTCTACCCGTGCAGGCATTATTCTACATCTTCCAAGTTCCTGTCATTGTTAAAGATTGATCTTGGGTGAATCTTTACATAAATGAAACAACTAGAAGTCCTTTCGCACTACATAATTACAGCGCTTTAATCTATGTTAACTACCATGGGGGAAAAAAATATAATTTTGGGATTTGTTGTTTGTTGAGACTCTAAAGTTCATTGGTAAAGAATTCTACATGCTCCTCCTGTAAATTTCATTGTCACTGTGATCTGTCTTGGTTCTTGGTCTGTTTCTGGGTCTTGATGCAAAGTGATTGTGTAAACTTTTGAAGCTCTTTATGATTTGACGCCAGGAACCCATTTGCACTGTGATTGCACTTTTTCTATCTTAACATGATTCCATCCTATAGAAAACTGAGGTAGTATGGTGTGGTACTAGAGCTCTCTGACAGAAAGGTCTATATAACCTTCACTAAACCATAGATCACAGAATTCCACAGGAACTGTAGCAGTTAAATCAGAATCCGTTCAATTACAATGTACAACACAAACCATATATGCTTGGGAGATATAGTCCTGAAATTACAATGGAAGCAGGAAATTGGATAACAGTGAATCTTGATGTAATGAATGACTTCCACTGGATGTTAATATAGGTAAAGGACTGAGAAACTTCCTAGAGAAATATCTACTCTAGGAATTTTCTAGGTCCCCCAACAGGACAACAGAAGCATGCCATAGAATTGCCTGGAGAACCTAATAAATTCATAGAGAGACCATTTTTGTCAGATGCAGGCAGATGAAACCTTGAATATTAGTTCAGTTGGTACAAGGGTCATTCTGTAGTGTAGTGTAGTGTAGTGTATACTTCCCTTTTGCCACCACAGACATTGAGAACTATCATTTGAGGTCTTCCTGCAGAACTTTTTGGTGGTAATATTATCTCCGTGATGAATTGGAGAGACTCATCTAGAGCGTAGTCTGATGTTACTTTAATGCCAGATGAGAAACTATTTATTTTTCTGAGTTTTGTGAACATCACATTTTAAAGTAATTGATTCCCCCCCAATACTATAAATTGTAATTACACTAGGTTTTGAAGGACAGTGAGAGGTGTATTTCTTGCATAATGTATGGAGTTGTGCAAGAAATGCATCATAATGCTCACTGGTATGAGAGAGCAGAACAATATTTTTGCCCAGGAACCAGCCCTATATATTTACTCATTGACTCCAGTTGTTTCTGTCTTTCCCAGAAACTCACTGTGGAACAGTGGCCAAAATACCACATGGACTCAACTTGTGTCATGGGGCATTATTCTCAGTAGAACTGATATAGAGCCCCCAGTATCTGAATTCTCTTCCCCTATACTAGCCACATTCCATTCCATCCATGGAAGCACTCACATAGTTATTCCACACAAGTTTAAGTGTGTTATGTTTGCATTTTGTTTGGGAACAATACTTTATTCTTTTCCCATTAATATACTAGGGCATCAGTCCAATCATATAGTTCATTTGCTGAGTTATTGTAGGTACACGATTACTCTGAAACTGTATGGTTTCCATTTCTTTTCTTCTTGGCTCTTTCCACCTTGATTTTGCTCCACAATCCTGGCACACTCTCCCTAGGAATGTCTGCCAATTGTACTCATCCTTTAGGTTTATGTTTAAATCACTGTTGGAAACTTGCTGTTCTGCTAAGACATCATAACATTACATTTCTCTTTCCCCCTCTCTCTTTCTTTTGCCTGATTAATACAGAAACACAGTCTTCTACCCTGCTGCACCCTGGAGCCTGCACTTGCAAATGGTTTTGGTTAATCTCAAGTTTGGGTGTATGGGAATGCTGCTTATATTTGTCTATGTTAACAGAGGGCCACAGGGTAGAATTTAGAGAACTCAGATAATTAGGAAAGGATAATTGAGGATCAGATAAACAGGTTCTCTTCTATTACACTTCCTCTTCTTGTCAGTCTTTTGAGGGTATGACTGTGTCTTTTTTTCTTTTGTTTTTATATGTGCAAATGTTGCTGACTGCAAATTACAAGAAACATCTGTGGGCCATCTGAATAATAATGTGTCTCTTGCTGGCTGATTTTATTTTGCTGGTTTTTATATGTGTACGTTTTCCTTTGATCCAGGATGTACATAAGTGGAATCAAGATAACTCCTACAGAACCATCTTCCTAAAATATGCTAATCAGGTATGTTGAAGGTGGGGGAAGGATTGTGTATGTCGACAAAGCTAGTGGGACTGGGAAATAAAAGATTCCCATCTTGCTCTTAATCCAGGCTTCAGAAATGCAGATCTCAAATGCACATCTCAAAAACACTATTGATTTTCCAGCCGCATATAACCAAGGGGCTCAGCTAGAATATAATAAATGATCCAGGGCTGATTGCTTGCAAGGAGAAAGGTGTTCCTTAAACAAGCAATTAGCAGTAACCCTTGGCTACAAGTATATGTGTGTATGTAGATCATATTTTACTCTGATCAGAATTACTTCCCATTTGCTCTCGCTGCGTTTGGAAAGCAGGCATCAGTCAATGTTTGGGTAATTGATTCCCATTCTTTCTGAGCTGAGCTGCATGCATTCACAGGAGATGCTCTTAATGGCTTAATAAACTGTTATAAAGGACTCCTTGACTTAGTCAAGAGAAAAATTGCTGCCAAAAGCCTATGCACAATAGACCTCTCACAGCTAATAGTTATATCAACGCATAAAAGGTGAAAATGACACTGCCTACTGCGAATAATGTGCAAGGTTTGTTTCTGGGAGCACTAAGGGCAAGGAAGGAAGATTTGACATGGCTCATGAGTCTGGCAGCTCAAGCTGTAGGGGCAGCATGCCAGGTTCCCAGCTCTTCGTTACACTTCAATGTTATGGCAGTGAAACAGAGGCTCAACGCAGCTGCTCCCACTCCAGTGGTCCTGTTTGAGCATGCCAGAAGACCTGTCACGCTGTCATCCTCCCTTTCCCTAGTAGCACCTTGGAAACTGCTGACAGTTACAACAGAAGGGAAAAATAAAGCAGATTTCAACTTGATTTGGGGAGATGTAATAAGAATGATTTCATCAGTGTGTCAAAAAGGTCTGATTGCATGAAAGATCTGTCCTTAAAATAACTGCAAAAAAATGGTTGTTCATATTCAAATGACATCATACTGCAAGTTATAGTCAGTATCTGAAATGTGATGAACATGGGAATTCTTACTATCACCAACAAATTTTATTCTATCCAATGGGTCTTCTCTCTGAGTGTGCAAAGATTTTATGTAGAAATGCATAGGCTGTATTAAGGGAACAATTCCCATTAAAAACACTATTCACAATCACATTCACAGGTGCATTTCAGAAGCATATTGAGCATTCACAAAGATAACCACTGCTATGAATCTCTTCAATAAATGTCTGATATTCAGTGTGATATAAGAAAGATCTGTGTTCTCTTGAACACTGACTGATATGGGAAGAGAGTTTTTCCACTGCTGCTGCCACACACATCATCCACTCTTCTCAATTATGAAAAGACATAATGGAGCACAGCCCTTAAACAAAGCATTCCACCAACAACGCCCAGTTTCCCTTTTGTCTTATCCAGATGATGTCTGACATTCCATACCTAATGAGCATGCCTAGTGAATATTCCATGCCTAATGTTTGGCTTTTTCTTTGCTTACTTGGGTGCCCCCCCCCCCAGTACTTTTTGCCCTTTCTCAGACCTCGCAATTCCTCCAAATATACTGAAACCTCTATTACTGTTGCAATTCAGGAACTTGAGTCTGCCATTAGAGCAATGGTTGTCAAGTTTGGGCCACCAGACTTCAAATTCCAGAACCCAAGCCAGCAGGGCCAATATTCAGGGCTTCTAGAAGTCCAAAACATCAGTGACCTAATGTGTCTATCAAATTCATATATGATTAGAGGATCACATGACTTTTTCTTCAGGCCGTTTTTACTTGATATGATCATTTCTTCCCTCCACAGGTAATAATCTCCCTCAATCAGGCAGCACATGAGGCTTTCCCCTCTCCTCTTCTGCAAAGTAACTCATGATTGAAATGGAACATCACTGCCAAACAATTTAGTGTTATCTTTAAAAGCCAGACCCTACTTTACCACACCATAAGTCAGAAGAATAAAGATAATAATGTCATCTCTCTGTGTGTATCAGTCCTTAATCAATCAAAGTGAAACATGTTCAAGGCATGTATTTTCAGATCATTTGTGAGATCTCATATGTTCTTTCACAGAGCTCCTTCCTAGATGCTTCACAGTTACAAAGAATCCTCAATGAAGTACTCCTGAAAGGTAAAGCCACTTTCTTTATATTGAACTTGTCAGTAGAATATGCCATGGACAACACCTTGGAAGAAGAGCACTTTGTCAGGTTGTTGTAAGCTTCACTTGTACTACTATTTGTGACTTGTGAAGAAGCTCAAGACAAAATACATTTCTTTAGGGTTCCAGTGCCATCTGGCTTTGGCAATTCTGGTTCCTCAACTAAAAAGAAGTCTAAACATGTAGACATATCAGTGGTCTAGAGACCACTGGCACATCTTACATTTTTGAAGAGAGAATAAAATTAGTTATCAGGGTTGCTGAGGGATACTGTGATATTGGATGAAAATTCTCAGAGTGACTTGGACCGTGAGAAGATCCAGCCAGTCCATCCTCCAGAAAATAAAGCCCAACTGCTCACTGAAGGGAAGGATATTAGAGGCAAAGATGAAGTAATTTGGCCACATAATGAAAAGACAGGAACACTTGGAGAAGACAATGATGCTGGGGAAAATGGAAGAAAAAAGGAAGAAGGGCTGACCAAGGGCAAGATGGATGAATGGTATTCTTGAAGTGACTGGTTTGACTTTGAAGGAGCTTGGAGTGGCAACGGTAAACAGAGAGCTCTGGCATGGGCTGGTCCATGAGGTCACAAAGAGTTGGAAGTGACTGAATGAATAAACAACAACAAGAGGGATACAAAGCCACTCTCCGCACGACAGTGGTAGGCCTATTGGTAAAGGCAGATATGTCACTAACCAGATGGTGGAGCACTAGACCAACCAATACCAGCTACATTCCTCTCACTAGCAAGCTGGTTTCTCAGTTGACCTGTCTTCTAATCAAGGATCCCAGCAGAGAAAAAGCTGTCCTTTGGGGAGATACGGTGGGGTTCTATAAATGAGTGTTATTTGGTGTTATTGTGCCTTTTAGTGTACCAGTATGATCTAAGCCCCATGCAATGATTTCTTTTTTTAAAAAATGAAGCTGATATACATAATAAGGCATGGGTGTAGAAGAGGTGGCCAGTGAACCACAGGAGGGCCTAGAGTATTCAACACCCTAAAATTTTGAAAGAAATATAAAAAAATTCCTGGATGTTTTATATTCCTTACAACTACTTATTTTTAAAGCATTTAGGGAGAACATTTTGAAAAATACAATTTCTTTGCCAGAGTGGGGAAGGCAGTAACCCTTCAAAACATGATGGAAATGTCATTAACATCCCTAAAAGTTTTGGGGAGCATCTGAAGCATCTGCTGCCAATAAACTGTATTTTGTCCACCCCTGTTTCAATGAATCATGAGATAATGAGTCCATTTTAATGAATTATTTTCTGGCCTTAGAAAAAATATGCAAAAGTGGCATTATATTGTCAGATTCCTGGTTTGAAAGTAAATGGTTTTATTCTTACCCTTCCCCTACCTTCTTCATGTTAGTATACATTGCTTTTCTGATTTATCCATTTATAGATCGAAGGACCAGTCTGGGAAGCGGAAATAGATTCAGCTTCGATTCAAGCAAAAGCCTTTTAGCTCTGATGGATGTATCTTTTCAACAAATGCAATAAACTTTGCTTATACTGCCCTGCCTCACATTGAGTTATGGCTGGGCTGAGCTTCCCAATGCAAAAGCCCTATGAGTAAATATTTGCCATAATATCAGCCTTCCACTTAAGCTTGGAATCTATAAATTATCATATTCTTCCCCACTGAGAGACTTTCTTTCTGTTAGATGTCAGATGGAAAGTGGAAGGTGATTGTAATAACCCCCTCCTGCAGACTTCTTGCGTATAGAGCCTACCTACAGTGCATAACATATTCCCTTCAAGCAGCTCATCCAAAAAACCTTCATATTGCTCTGAAATCTTAAAGCTATGAACACAGTATGTCACCAGCCTAATTTTTGACCTACCTCTCCTGATTTGAAACAATTTGGAGCAAAGAAAATGTTGTTGAAGGCTTTCAGGAATCTACCATATACCATGCAGCTGTGGACAAGTCTACATAGGGACCAACAAACGCAACATTGCCCAACCATGAATCAAGGAACATGAAAGGCACTGCAGACTACTTCAACCAGAGAAGTCAGCCATAGCAGAGCACCTGATGAACCAACCTGAACACAGCATATTATTTGAGAACACAGAAATGTTGGACCACTCTAAGAACTACCATGTCAGGCTACACAGAAAAGCCATTGAAATCCACAAACATGTGGACAATTTCAACAGAAAAGAAGAAACCACAAAAATGAATAAAATCTGGCTACCAGTATTTAAAAAGGCCCTGAAAATTATAACAGTAAATAAAGAACAAAGCTCAAACACAGGGGAATGCCAGACAAGGAACAATTAGAAACACCTAATCACCTCTCGATAAAGTATTTTCCCAGGCAGTAACAAGCCACAACTAAAAACTGTCAGGCCATCAAATGCTAACCAAGGTGGCCAATTGAAACATTCACACTTCCCTCCAACAGACAAAAGTTCTTTCTCCCATCATGAACATTCCACAGATATATAAACCCAATTTTCCTAATTTCCAACAGACCTCACAACCTCTGAGGATGCTTGCCATAGATGCAGGTGAAATATCAGGAGAAAATGCTTCTAGAACATGGCCATACAGCCCAAAACACCTACAACAACTCAAAGGAAAAATCTGAGCAATATGTACTTGTCCCCCCACCCCACCCCATGAGTCTGGGGCCCCTAGAAATATGCAAATAGAGAGCCAGAGAACGGTGAGGGTATCAGCCATCAATCAAAGCTGTAGACATCATTTTAAAAATGAAGAGTTGTAAAAGTTTGCTTAAGTTTGGGAAATGTGAATGTTACCAGGGAAACATCCCAATGTATCGAGCAGGCAAACACATTTTGACTGGATCCTGTTGGCCTAGCTATTCCAGATGTGAGCTGCTGAGGGCAGTGAGAGTAGTTCATACATGCACACACAAACGGTGGTGACCTGACATGACAATTCAAAAGCTTTACCTGGTCATAAGTGGTAAGTAAACCACTTTACCAATTACTGGTAGTCCTCTTCCCTGTTTTAGGAATGTAGTTATTTACTCTTCCTTTTATTCTAGACTTGAAAGGAAGAATCCAGAGTGCTGAATTCTATCCAAAAATCGATTCAGCACCTTGGATAACTCCTTGAGGATTAGAATAAAATTCAGAGGACATTGGCTGTACCTCTGACATGGCAACCAATAGTCATTTCCCAGCTTTGCCCTGTCTTCCCTCAAACTACAGAATCAGATATTTCTGGTTAAAGCATTTAAGGGCTACCAAATCAAAACACATTTAAAACTTGACCACATAGACAGATCAATGCTAACGGAAGGCTTTCGCTTGACGAATTTGGAGAACTTTGGAGGGAGCTCAATATATATAAGGTATGGATGGGATTTATGAACCTGAAGTCTTTTGTCCCATTTTGTCCTCAAAAGTTTTGAAGTTTACGTTTAAAGTAATTGCAGTTACCAGTGTCTATAAGGCAGCTTTCTTTGGTTACAATAATAGTTTTAAAAGGTTGAAAAGTAACTTGGGATTACATAGAGTTATGTTTAAGAAAAGCTACACAGTACAAGATACACCAAAATGTACTAGGAACTAACTAAAATGAATTATATTGCTAAAGAATTAATGCTATTTTTGTTAGGTTAATAATAATGTAACTTAGTTATTATGTAATTTCTGTAAAAGGAGCTGCTTACATATATCTTACTTTTAGAACCAGTTACTTTCAAACTCTTAGTGTCCATTTATACTCTGAATATCTTCTCATATTCCCAGATGGAAAATGAGTATTTTTCATTCCTAAATATGTTAAGAACAACTCCCTCAGCAATGAAGAAGTGCTCCCAAAGGCTTCACTTGTTTTAAAACTGTTGGCTCAAGTTTAAATATTTTCTAGGACATTTTTTTAAAGGAAGATGAACAGAACTCTGGGTTCCTGAATGCCTCCAATCTGAAAAGAATAATCCAGAAAAGAGGTATGTGATGTTTTCTGAATAATTTTTTAGATCAGGCACTTTAATTTTGAAATGTAATGATTTTTAAAAGAAATTATCTAAAAGGAACATTTCACAAGGGATTCCTCTATGTGTCAAAGTAGCTGCAATTAAAGAAATTGCCCAGAAGTTAGTCCTCAGAAGGCAGAGAAATATGATAGATATCTTAGGGATAAATTTATATATTCCAGTTCTAACTGCATTGTATATGAATAGGTAGCTATCAGTTTCATTGTTTTTGTATTTCTCACTGTTGGTATTCTTGTCTCATCACAATTCTATATCATGTTGTGGTTTTTAGCCTTCCCATGGGTATTATTTTCTTGTAGACATTTTTCCTACTATATTAATGACTTAGATGAAGAGTTAGAAGGCATGATCATCAAGTTTGCAGATGACACCAGATTGGGAGGGATAGCCAATACTCCAGAAGACAGGAACAGAATTCAAAATGATCTTAACAGACTAGAAAGATGGGCCAAAACTAACAAAATGAAGTTCAACAGGGACAAATGCAAGATACTCTACTTAGGCAGAAAAAAATGAAATGCAAAGATACAGAATGGGGGATGATACCTGGCGTGACAGCAGTACATGTGAAAAGATCTTGGAGTCCTCATGGACAACAAGTTAAATATGCGCCAACAATGTCATGCAGCAGCTAAAAATACCAATGGGATTTTGGCCTGCATAAATAGGAGTATCGTGTCTAGATCAGTGATTCTCAACCTATGGGTCCCCAGGTATTTTAGCCTACAACTCCCTGAAATCCCAGCCAGTTTTCCAGCTGTTAGGATTTCTGAGAGTTGAAGGCCAAATCATCTGGGGACCCACAGGTTGAGAACCACTGTTCTAGATCCAGGGAAGTCATGCTACCTTTCTATTCTGCCTTGGTCAGACCAAACCTGGAAAACTGTGTCCAATTCTGGGCACCAAAATTGAAGGGAGATGTTGATGAGCTGGAATGTGTCCAGAGGAGGGCGACTAAAATGATCAAGGGTCTGGAGAACAATCCCTATGAGGAGTGGTTTAAAGAACTGGGAGTGTTTAGCCTGCAGAAGAAAAGGCTGAGAGGAGATATGATATCCATGTATAAATATGTGAGGGGAAATCATGGGGAGGAGGGAGCAAACTTGTTTTCTGCTGCCCTAGAGAATAGGATGTGGAACAATGACTTCAAACCAAAGAAAAGGAGATTCCAGCTGAACATTAGGAAGAACTTCCTGACTGTGAGAGCTGTTCAGCAGTGGAACTCTCTGCCCCAGAGTGTGGTGGAGACTCCTTCTTTGGAGGCTTTTAAACAGAGGCTGGATGGCCATCTGTCGGGGGTGCTTTGAATGTGATTTTCCTGCTTCTTGGCAGGGGGTTGGACTGGATGGCCCACAAGGTCTCTTCCAACTCTAGGATTCTACGTATTTTCCCATTTTGCTCACTGATTAAAGGATATTTGCAGAGATTTTCCCTATTGTATGAATATATTTTTCAAACACAAGCATGCTAGTTTTTTCAAATGAATGCATGGTTTTTGAAGAAGGGAAGTGCCCACATGGCTGAGTGGTTTGAATGTTGGACTGTGATTCTGGAGGACAGGGACTGAATCCCCACTTGGCCATGGAAATCCACTGACTAGCCTTGGGCAAGTCACAGTCTGTCAGCCTCACAAACACACCCTCTAAAACACTTCTTCTTAAACTGTGTGTTCCTGATCCCAACAGGGGTCTCCATAACTCAAAAATTGGCAACAGTAAATCTGTTAGTGATAATGTGCAATGAACCCTGGGGAAAACGCTTCATTTGTACGTCATAAAAGGGGAAAAGTGGCCCATTTAGTAAACCTTGCAAATGCTGGTTTATTATCAGTAAATGTTTGATTTGATGTAATATACTTGTATACTGGGAGTCATGTAAAAATTACTCGAGTGGAATAGGGTCATGAGTGGGAAAAGAAAACCACATGATACATTCACCTTAAAGTCTCCATTAATCAAAATAATAATAATAATAATAATAATAATTATAATAATAATAATAATAATAATCTTTATTTGTACCCCGCCACCATCTCCCCGAAGGGGACTCAGGGCAGCTAACTTGAGGCCAAGACCAAAGATACAATACAACAAAATAAAATACAAAATGCAGGCAACAAAATTTCATCAGAATAAAATACATAAAATACATAAAGTAGCAAAATAAAATAAACAAAGGAGACTATATATAAAATAGGAGATATATTAGGAAATATATACCAGACATCCTGAGGGGTGAGGTTGAATGGGCCTTAAGAAGCATTGCTAACAACAAGGCAGCAGGAGACGACGAGATCCCAGCTGAACTGTTTAAAATCTTAAAAGATGATGCTGTCAAGGTGATGCATGCCATATGCCAGCAAATATGGAAAACACAAGAATGGCCATCAGACTGGAAAAAATCAACTTATATCCCCATACCAAAAAAGGAAATGGTAAAGACTGCTCAAACTTCCGTACAGTGGCCCTTATTTCTCATGCCAGTAAGGTAATGCTCAAGATCCTGCAAGGAAGACTCCAGCAATACATGGAGCGAGAGTTGCCAGATGTTCAAGCTGGGTTTAGAAAAGGCAGAGGAACGAGAGACCAAATTGCCAATATCCGCTGGATAATGGAGAAAGGCAGGGAGTTTCAGAAAAACATATACTTCTGCTTCATTGACTATTCTAAAGCCTTTGACTGTGTGGATCATAATAAATTGTGGCAAGTTCTTAGTGGGATGGGCATCCCAAGCCACCTTGTCTCTCTCCTGAGGAATCTGTACAAGGACCAAGTAGCAACAGTCAGAACTGACCACGGAACAACAGACTGGTTCAAGATTGGGAAAGGCGTATGGCAAGGCTGCATACTCTCACCCAACTTTTTAAACTTGTATGCAGAACACATCATGCGATGAGCGGGGCTTGATGAATGCAAAGCTGGGGTGAACATTGCTGGAAGGAACATTAACAACCTCAGATATGCAGATGACACCACTCTGATGGCCGAAAGCGAGGAGGAGCTGAGGAGCCTTCTAATCAAGGTGAAAGAAGAAAGCGCAAAAGCCGGGTTGCAGCTAAACGTCAAAAAAACCAAGATTATGGCAACAAGAATGATTGACAACTGGGAAAATGTGGAGAAAATGTGGAGGCCGTGACAGACTTTGTATTTCTAGGTGCAAAGATGACTGCAGGCGCAGACTGCAGCCAGGAAATCAGAAGACACTTCTTGGGAGGAGAGCAATGTCCAATCTCGATAAAATAGTAAAGAGTAGAGACATCAGACTGGCAACCAAGATCAATTGCCTAGTCAAAGCCATGGTCTTCCCTGTAGTCACCTACGGATGTGAGAGCGGGACCTTAGGAAGGCTGAGCGAAGGAAGATCGATGCTTTTGAGCTGTGGTGTTGGAGGAAAGTTCTGAGAGTGCCTTGGACTGCGAGAAGATCCAACCAGTCCATCCTCCAGGAAATAAAGCCCGACTGCTCACTGGAGGGAAAGATACTAGAGACAAAGTTGAAGTACTTTGGTCACATCATGAGGAGACAGGAAAGCCTAGAGAAGACAATTATGCTGGGGAAAGTGGAAGGCAAAAGGAAGAGGGGCCGACCAAGGGCAAGATGGAGGGATGGCATCCTTGAAGTGACTGGACTGACCTTGAGGGAGCTGGGGGTGGTAACGGCCGACAGGGAGCTCTGGCGTGGGCTGGTCCATGAGGTCACGAAGAGTCGGAGACGACTGAACGAATGAACAACAACAAATATAAAATCAAACACAATGGGCAGGCCAAATGGATGAGGTAAAATGATAAAACCCTGGTTAGGTAGGAATAGAAAAAGTGTAATTGAGAGGAGCCCAAAAAGGATGAACAGTGGGTTTAGACTTTCAGTTTAAGACTGAGGGGGGCAACATTGTAGATGGAACATAAATTATTTGAACGCACACAACATGTGCCACATATGAAACAGCATTGGATCAATGCCCTCAAATTCTGCTCCCTCCAGTGAAATTGTCCTTCATCCGTGCACACACCTCCCCTTCACACACACACACCCCAAGAGATAGAGGAAGAAAGAGTGAAAGCAAAACAACCAAGGGAATGCTAACCTGCAAATACAAGACATCTAAGTGTGAAAGATTTTTAGTGTCTTACCCTCTTTGAGGCTAGAAATTTGAGGGGGGAAATGAGGGTCTGAATTCTTAATCTGGAGCCCCCAGTGGCACAGTGGGTTAAAGCGCTAAGCTGCTGAACTTGCAGACTGAAAGGTTGGAGGTTCAAATCCGGGGAGTGGCATGAGCTCTCACTGTTAACCCCAGCTTCTGCCAACCTAGCAGTTTGAAAACATGCAAATGTGAGTAGATCAATAGGTACCACTCCATGCAGTCATGAACTTGGAGGTGTCTATGGACAACACTGGCTCTTCGGCTTAGAAATGGAGATGAGCACCAACCCTGAGTCGGACACAACTGGACTTAATGTCAGGGGGAAACCTTTACCTTTAATTCTCAATCTGAACTTCAGTCTCCTCATTTTCCTCCTCTCCAGTAGCTACACACCCTTTTAAAGGTTTGGAAAAGGTATGGATAGCCAAGTCAAGTTGTGTTTCCTCTCATAGTGAGGTTAGTGAAGCATGAAATGGTTTCCCATTTCCCTATGAAAATATCCTCCAAATTTCCTTTTTAATACCCACATAAAGTTTAGGATAAAACTCCTTTAGGTTTACCCTGACACCTGGTGATTGCTTTTGGAAAGGCAACTGAGTTCTCTTTGCTATTCATTGATCTGCTCAGCTTCCTTAGTAACTGAGTTCTGATTGAATTGTTCCAACAGAATCCCTCTGTGGTCGCATTTTATATGTAATCCCCCAAATAGCTACCAGGCAATAATGCTGCCTTCAAGATGAGCTTTTACATGTCAACATAGCTCTTTAAGAAGTCTTATCTGCATGCCTATTAATTTTCTTCTTCTCCATGGGAAGTCAAAAAGAATGTGTAATCAAATGACAGCCACAATACTTAGTGAGGTTGTATGGAGAGAAAAGGAAAGGATATTCAACAAGGATTTTTGGAAATTATTAAGATTATAATTTGGAGGATGAGTGGGGAAGGGAAGAGGAGCAGAGATTTGAATGTTGCTTTGTTGAATTCAATTCATCATTAATGTGCTTCATTTTAAAAAATATCTCAGAAAGATATTGTGATAATCAAGCTAATAATGTGCAGCATAGTGAGCACAGCTGAGCACCACTCTGTCCTTAAAGACAAACAACAAATAATACAGGGAAATAGCTGAAGAAAGGTGTGTGAATGAAAAATAGGAATATAAGTATGGCATCATCATATTTCCCCTGAACAGCAGAATTTTAAGAGAAAATGTAAATCTGCTTAAGATTTCCTTCATCTCCTCTGCTAGGCTCCTTCAACCCCAATCTGACAGAAACACTGCATCTAATTACTGATGTTAGATTCAAATGAATTGCAAATATTGGTTGCCAGGCTTTTCTTGGCAGAATATGTACTCTGGTTTCCCTCATTATTTTCAATAATCATCATTTGTACAGTTCACAACACAAAGCTATTGAACATGAAGTTTCTAGCTAGCTATTGTGGTTTATAGGGCTGGCACCTGCTGCTGTCTTCAGTCAATTGTGTAATACAGCAGCTAAGGGCTCTTCTACACATGCTCTAAAATGTGGAAGAAACCAGGATAAAAGGGATGTGGCTAAATGGCATTTCACAAAAATGTGAGCTGATTTGAATTAACATCTGAAAAATATGTGTTAAGAAGGTGAGCTTAAAATGTAATTTTGGCTGGAAAATGTGCATATTCATGTGACTGTATATCCCTGCAGTCAAGAAATATATCCTATCTGCTAGGCTCAGTGCATGTACTCATTTTTAAATCTCGAAACAGTTGATTTGGGCTGTCAACAAATGGAGCCATGGACACACAGGTGGCTAAATAGAAGCACAAATGGAAAGCAAGTACAATGAGAACTCTCTGCAACCATTCCTTTGTTCTGATCTTTATGAAATTAAACAGAGGTTGAATTTACAGTAGGGTGAGGAGAGATAATAAAAAAAATCTGCTTGTGTGTACATTTAGATATCCACATGAGTATATGTGAAGTCCAGTGGATCTTGGAGAGTTGATTTTTTTGAAAAAAAATTTTGCTGGATGGCCCCAGTCCATCTTGTGGATTTCTAAAATCCACTACAAACTAATATATCTGGCATCTGTTGAGAGTGCTTTTGATTGTGTATTCCTGCATGGCAGGGAGTTGGACTAGCTGGATCTAGTTTCCTCTTCCAAATTTGTGATTCTATGATTCCATACCTTGAGTTTGATTTTAGGGGGGAAATGGAAGAAAGGGGAGAGATATGAAAATAAAGAATGAATAGTAATGAAAAAATAAGCAGTAGCTCACTGTGGCTTAAAATAATGTTCTTACCTCTGTAGGAGTAATTAGGTCAAGGGTTTACTACCTTATGAAGAAATTAGACTAGAACCTGTAATATAAACATGTATCAGGATTATACATGCCATTGTATTTCCAATTTCTATGTATTGTCATGAAACCTTGACAGTTAAGAAACCTGATAGGAAGAAAATCTATTTATTTGAAAGTGGTCAAAGAGAAGAGTTCTGCAGATTCTGTAGACTGACAAAAAGACAAATAAATGGGTTCTAGAACAAATCAAACCTTAATTGTCTCTAGAAACCAAGATGACTAAACTGATCATAGAATCATAGAGTTGGAAGAGACCTTGTGGGCCTCTTATGATATTTTCATACTTTGAATATATCATCACATAGCCCGCTTTAAAGGACAATGATGCTTGATAAGGTAAAATGCAGCAACAAAAGAGGAAGTGAACATTACAGATGGATAGGGCTCAGTCAAGGAAACCATGATGTTGAAAATGGAAGACCTGACCAGGGCTGTTGATGACACTGCGATTTGGAGTTCTCTCATTCATAGCATTATTATAAGTTAGGGTTGACCTAATGACAGTCAACCAGAACAAAAAGTCCCAAAAGGTCTAAACTATATGTCCTACTATTCCTTGGGATGTTTCCATGCCATTTATACCGATATCAAGCTGCTATAGTTATTAAGCACAGATACATAAGATACACAAGAGACTATGCATTAACATTGATGACTTGGACTGGCATTGGATGATGACTTGGATTATGTGATTTTAAATTGTTGTTTCATGTAATGCTTTTAATTGGTTGGTTTTTACTGTTTTAAAGTGTTGTTTATTTATCTATGTTATGTGTACATGCGGCATTGAATTGTTGCCTTTGTAAGGCCGCCCTGAGTCCCCTTTGGGGTTTGATAAGGGTGGGATATAAGTGCGATGAATAAATAAATAAATATTGCTTTTGATTTGCTCAGAACCCTTCATAGGACCTCATCACACTAGAGACGGAATCCCTTTTAAATCCGGTTGCTACCTCCTGCAGAATTCTTGAGTTTGTAGTTTAGGGAGGAGCCTTTAATAGTCTCACTAAACTAGGTAAGCAAACCCAATAATTCTGCAGGAAGCAGATACCAGATTTAAAGTGGATTCATTTGCTAGTGTGATGAAGTACCTAGAGATCAGGATTAAGCTTGATTTTGAAATCAGGTCTTATGTGTTTGAATTTTGATATTTTTCTTGGCTTATTGAAGTTGATGTGTATGCACAAAATTTACATTTGCTTTCAGTGCCAAGTTTAATATGGGGACACTCAACTAATGCTGAAGTTTTATATCAACTTAATCTGGGAGTAAGCTCATTGATATCATTAAATTTTCCCAGTAAGCCTTCACTTTAGGATGTGCTACTTTCATCACAGGCAATAATATAAAGGGCTATTTTCAAAGTTTGGACGATTTCATAAATGAAGTTGATACGTGGCTTGATCTATTCTCTGTGCATTTTTGGACAGTATCATTCTGATGATCACCTCCTTTGCCTTTTCCTGTTTTCTAGGCCTGTCAGTCAGTGAAAAACTCCTTGGACTGATGACTGTGCGATATGGGGATGCTACCATGAGGATGAACTGTCCTGGTTTTGTGTGTTGTATGATTCGTCTAGAGACCATGAAAAGTAAGCCACATATTTTTGAATACTTTTTAATACACATATTCACAAACACATATATGGGCAATTAAAAAGCAAGCCAATACCACTTCTCCCAAATTTGCAGTTAATTACAAAATGGAAAAAAGTAAAAGCTTTTTATTAGTTTAGTGATGCTTGTTAATCAGTTCTCCCTTATTCTATGTGTCAGCCTTTAGCATGTGTTAGAAGATCCCAAATTATGAATGGAAATGCTCATGATTGCACCACATCATTCTAAACTCACCTCACCGATTGTTAGGTTGTCTTTTTCAACAGATGTGAGAATCACTTTTTTAAAGACAACAGAAAGCACTACTACTTCTTTTGAGGTAATACAATAGGTTTCTAAACCACTGTCTGTCATCAGTAATGGACTGGATGAGGCCAAATAAATTGAAACTTAATTCAGACAAGCCAGAGGTGCTCCTGGTCAGTTGGGAGGCAGACCAGGAAGAAGGGACCCAGTCTGTGCTGGATGGGGTTACACTCCCCCTGAAGGCACAGGTTAGTAGTTTGGGGTCTTCCTGGACTTGTTGAAGGCCCAGGTATCTGCAGTGGCCAGGAGAGCCTTTGCACAATTAAAACTTATGTGCCAACTGCACCCCTTCCTTGAGAAGTCAAGTTTGGACATGGTGGTACATGCCTTAGTTACATCATGTCTAGATTACTGTAATGCGCTCTATGTGGGGCTCCCTCTGAAGAGTGCTCAGAAGCTGGCCCAAAGAGGCGCAGCCAGGTTGCTAACTGGGGCTGGCTACAGGGAGCGGACAACCCTCTATTGCAGCAGCTCCACTGGCTGTTAGTCTGTTTCTGGGCACAATTCAGAGTGCTGGTTATGACCTTTAAAGGCCTAGATGGCTTAGGTCCAGGCTATTTGGCTGACAGCATCTCTTTGTAAAAACCTGCCCAGGCCCTGAGATCTCAGGAGAGGCTCATCTCAACCTCAGTTGGTGGGAACGAGAGAGAGGGCCGTCCTCAGTGGCTACCTCAACTCTGGAACTCCTTGCCTAGGGAAGCCAGAATGCCCCCCTCCCTGTTGTCCTTCTGGCAGCAGGTTAAAACCTTCCTATTCAGGCAGGCTTTTAAAGATGATGGTTTTTGATAATAAGTCAGAGGGTGCTGTTGTTTAAAACTTTGGATATGTTTTAATGGATTTTAACTGTGATTTTTTAAAAATACCATTTATATTTAATTCTGTTCTAATGTTTGTATATTTTTAAATTTCAAATTGTATTCTAATGCTTTTATGTTAAACCGCTTTGAGTCTCCTTCAGGAGAGATAAAGCAGGATATAAATTAATGATGATGATGATGATGATGATGATGATGATTATAATAATAGTGCTGTTGTGATGAGTTTGGGAAATGCACATATTATTGTGGGAATTGCTTTGCACTGCTTCACTTCACCATCCCAAGCTGCCCTTTATTCTTCCAGAAGCCAAGTCCATTTTCATTCCATTTACTTCATTTTTGTAATTCAAATAACTGCAGTTTCACAGGTAATGACTGACACTTGCTTGGATTCCACTTATTAAGTATTTCCTTACTTCCGAAGGCCTTTTTGCAAACATTTCAGCTTGTAAACCATCCCTGCATCCCTAAACAAGGTTTGGCAATCATAAGTACCACCCTCCCTTGCATTAATATTGTAGGTATTTATAGGGACAGTACTTGAGTACTGGGGAAACACAGAAGTAATTCACTCTGCAACTGCAAACTTGGCCAGAGACAATGACAAAGTCTCATAAGATTGAATGATACCTTGAAGATGTGCAATTCTCGGGGAGGAAAAAAGGAGGTGGGACATGAACAAAGAGGACAAAGATGGGCAGTGTATGGGTTGGGAAGAGTTACATCTGAGTTGCTGCAATAAACTGAAAGTATTTTCAGTCTGTTGAAGGTGCTTTCTGCAAATATCAGTGTGATAAGAAGACAGACTATTCTGGTGTTCTGTCTCTCTCTTACACACACACATTTAGGGGAAACTAACAATACATAAATACAATACAACACTAACCTACAACTAAGTTACTACTATTATGTATTGAAATAGATGTTAATGGTTTTAACTATTTATTTTCAATATTCCTATGTTTGATCCTATTGTAATGTTTATATTACAATATTTTGTTTTGACATTTTTATATTTATTTTTGAATATTGTCAACCACTTTAAGTTTCTTTTAAGAGAAAAAAAAGCAAAATATAAATGATAACAATACATACATACAGGGGAGTACAAATCTCTTCCATTGTTCCAAGTGTATTCCTGGAAAAAAATGTACAAATATTTCCACAGCTCTAAAGAATAAACCATTCTCTTAAAAAAACTGGAACATGCTATATTGAAGGAAAATGTCAAGCTGGATGTGCTCCCATTATCCTCTTTTACTCTAGGATTTTCCCATCAGCTGTGACGATGGCCTCACTCTCTTTTTAAATCACAAGAACATTTTAATGTTAATAAATTAAACTTCAGATCACAAAACAGCATTTGCATGATTTCTTCATCTGAGAGGTGCTAAAATTTTATACACTCCCACTTTAAATTATGCGAGTTTGATAAAGCAGCCGGCATATTCAGAGCAAGAATAAAATGTCACTCTTTTAAAAGCTGATGTAAGAGAGTATTCACGCTTCCAAAGCTGTCTGCAATAAGCACTTAAAGCCCACTAGTATCTTTCAATTATTATTTTATTGAATGCTTAAAATGCATTATGCACTTCCCTAGATACTTAAAAGTACTGCCCATGGGGTTTTCTTAAAACCCGCTGAGATAAAGGGAAATAAAAAGCAGCTCACCAATAATAGGGATTGGAAATAGATAATAAAATAAATAAATAACTAGGCTCATAAAACCATCAATTATGCTCCTTGAATAATCACCCCATTCAATAGTGGAATATGCTGTGGTGGTCTCCTTTTCTGGATGTTTTTAAGCAAAGGTCTGATGGCTATCTGCCAGGAGTGCTTTGATTGTGTGTTCCTGGATGGCAGGGGGCTGGACTGGGTGGCCCTTGGAGCTCTTCCAAGTCTATGGCATGATTTTCAGAAACCCTTGCTGAAATTATCCTTCCACGGGAGAATAAGGGCAAAGAAGATGCATATTTTCTCATACCTGATTACTATTAAATATAATTAAACAACATAGTAAATAGGTAAAGGTTTTCCCTTGACATTAAGTTTTTGAACTTCTAAACCTAGAAGCTGGGGTTAACAGCAGGAGCTCACCCCACTCCCCGGATTCAAAACATCAACCTTTTGGTCAACAAGGTCAACAGTTCAGTGGTGTAACCTGCTGCACCACTGGGGGGCTCCCAATTAAACGACATACAAAAGTTAAAAATAAGGCACACTTCCTGTGCTATCAATTACACATCAAGAGCCTACTTAAATAAAATAGCCTTTGACTGCCCATAAAAATGCCCAGGGAGGGAGCCAGCTTCATTCCCCATGGAAGGGAATCCTACTGGATGGATCATTATTTGAATTAGGAAAGAGTGGCTTCAAATGGTCCACGGACCAATGTTGCAACCCCAGAATTCACTGAGGGCCATACCTGAGCTATAAATGCTTGTATGCAAGGAAATAGAGAGAAGTTACTTTCAGTGTTGTTCTCCCTCCTCATTTCAAACCCTTTACTGGATGGAGACCAATTCTGGAAACCTTGAGGAGTGAAACAATACTTTTACTGAGATTTGGTTTGGGTGCATTGATACATTGTGGGATTGTGGGCATGTCAAGCAGAAGACAGACTGAGCAAATGGCCTTTGGGAAGGTTCAAATCACCCAACCATTGTTTAAATCAGGCATGAGCAAACTTTGGCCCTCTGGGTGTTTTGGACTTCTACTCTCATATTTCTTAACAGTCGGTAGGCTGTTAGGAATTGTGGGAGTTGACATCCAAAACAACTGGAGGGCCATAGTTTGATCATGCCTGGTTTAAACAATGGTCTAATTCAAACAAGGCGAAAACAAGGCATGGATTCTAATTGTGGTTTATTCCATTCAACTCTAGTTTAAGCAAACTGGTTTCCAGTGTGAAATTGATTCGTTTCAATTGCAAAATGTGGTTATTTTAAACTAGGAATCAGATTCAGTCTCATGCATTTGTCATATGAAAGAAGAAATCCCAAGGGTTGTCCAGGCTCATCTTCATGATTTTGCATTATATCTAGAATCCACTGTTGTGATTGCATGTTATGTCCAAATCAAATCAATCTCTTTAGTGAATACTTTAATCTTGTGCAATTCATATATATTTCATTTGCACAGGATGTAGGGTAAACATACCAACATGATATATTTAACACATTGTGCTTTCAGATTGCACAGTGACTAGTCCAGGCATGGGCAAACCTCAGCCTTCCAGGTGTTTTGGACTTCAACTGCCACCATTCCTGGCCTCAGGCCCTTTCCTTTTCCCCCTCAGTCACTTAAGCTGAAGGGTTGAAGTTTTCCCATGCCTGGGCTAGTCATTAAGCTCTTCCTGAATTGAATGGGACTCTCTCCTCACTGTGATTACAGTTTATCTGTTCTTTGCTTTGATTGTAAAATCTTAATGTATGAAATTTTAACTTTTGCACTTTTTAAACTTTAGAATTGGTTTCTCCCCTAGATATTAATGACTGTGTGTACCAATAAGTAGAACAAAAGCTTCCCGCCGTACTTTATAGCATTCTTCCTTTTTCTGTAGTTTTATGAACTCCTCTTTTCTATTTCTCAAAAAATGAAGCTTTATTTTGTCCTCTGCAGAGGTATTTCACAATTTATCTAAAGATGGGAGAGAAATCCGTTTTACTGAAGATGAGGTGAGTAGCGCTTATTACCATTTTGGTCTCTCTCTCTCTCTCTCTTTTTGCATTTCCACATAGTTTCTTTTTTATCAGTAGAAATAAAATGTCATTCCCTCTTATATGTGACTAAAGCACACACTAGCTTGGGTACCCAGCGTTGCCCAGGTTATTTGAAAAAGTCATTTTTTAATTGTACAAAATGCGTAAGGTTTTGGGTGATCATGCCAGGGTAAATCAGAAAAAACTCCATCAGTACTTAACGTTTGCTATGTTGGGCAAGTTTGCTCTAGATGCATCTTTGGTGGGGATCAGTGTGCTCTCTGGCTGTAGGGTAGACTACAACTCCTGCTATGGTGATTCAGTCCCCCCAAATCCCTCTAATAGGTTCAGTTGGTCATAGGGGTTCTGTGTGCCAAATTTGGTCCAGGTAAATCATCGGTGGATGTCACGGTTTCTCTGGTTGTGGCTAAACTACAACTCCCAGAAAAGAAAGTCAGTCCCCCCTCCCCGAAAAAAACCCTCCAGTATTCAAATTTTGGCATATTGGTCCAGATCCAGTGGTGTTTGGGTTCACAGTGCTCTCTGGATGTAGGTGACCTAAAACTTCCCCAAATCAAAGTGAATTTCTACCAAAGACTTCCAATATTTTTTGCTGGTCATGGGGGCTCTATGTTTGGTCCAATTCTATCTTTGGTGAAGTTCAGAGTTCTCATTGATTTCAGATGAACTATAAATCACAGTGCCCACAACTCCAAAATGTCCAGACAAATTCCCATCAAAACCCACCAGTATTCAAATGTGGGCATATCAGGTATGCATGCCAAGTTTGGTCCAGATCCATCATCGTTTGGGTTCATAGTGTGTTTTGGATGTAGGTGAACTACAATTCCTATAAAAACATCCAAAGACATCCAGTATTTTTGTTGGTTATGGGAGTTCTGCATGCCAAGTTAGTTCCAGGTCCACCATTGGTGGAGTTCAGAGTACTCTTAGATTGCAGGTGAACTATACATCCCAGTACCTACAACTACTATAAATCATGGTGAATTCTCCCCAAACCAGTATGTTCAGATGCTGATCAATTCCTCTATTTGCTGTGTGCCATGGAAAAGACTAGGAAAGGGTTAAGGAAGAGGCAGTGGGCAGGACCATGCAAATTCCATACCAATGAAGAGAGTAAGAAACATTGGAATGTCTGTGGTGGAAGAAAAACAGAAAATCTAGGATGAAATGGTCCCCAAATGAAAGTTGTAACATAGGTGGTGGGTAATATGGGATTTGTGAAGGACATTGGGAGGGTTCTTGTAAATGTTCATGGCACTCACTATAACCTGCAATATCATTGGAGGGAGGGCCATTGGTGTCTCCTGAATAGTAGGAGCTTTATCTGTTTCTGGAGGGAGGAGCTTGTCTGTGTAAGTGGACACCCAAGCCACATACACACATACATATTTTCACTTTTATTATGGTTATACGTTTAAAGCACGGTGCACAAAAATCTGAGCTTTGGGCTTCTCCTAGCCTTCATAAAAGGTCAAAGAGAATTTCTTCTGATTTTTTAAAATAAATAAATAAAAATTACCATTCAATAATGCTCTCATTCACAAACAGAAGAGATGGATAGCTGCTTAGAGACTGTTTTCTTGATGGAAGAATATCCAGTACCAGGCTAGATAGTTATTTTGCATTGCTATTCCATCACAAGGGCATGGGATCATATGTGAGGTTATAGCACTTATATGGAGAGCAGGGAAGTATTTTGGACTACAGCTGTTCTGAGTCCCTCAATCAACCTGGCTATTGGCCATACGGCTGCAGGATTCTGGACATTGTAGTTTCCAAAAGTGAGTTTTTCCCTATTATGCTCCTGTATGATTGTTTTGGACAAAACAGTCTTACATGCTCTGTAGAGAAAAGTCATGGGCTTCACAAATGTTTGCTCTATGGCCTTGGGAAAAGTCACAGGCTGTTGAACTAAAGCTAGAGAGTGGCTCAGCTGTCGCTGCACTACCTGATTCAATCTACTTCCATTACTTTGCAAATGCATTGAACCAAAAGTACATTTAGGGCACCATTTGAAAAACCAAGCCCCGGTATGCAGCTGCCTGACATTTTGGTCTCTGCAATGGACCTGAGGAGTTTTACATTGGCTGTAAACAATTTCTTATCCAAGACAGAGATTTATTTGCTGCAATAAACCTCAGGGAACTTTACAGACACCTGTGGTCCTCTTCCATGACACACACACTACTCTGCCGTGCAAAAATCCCTCTCTATTGCTTCCAGCGTTTCCAGATCTAGCTTAATCTGGTGCAGCTAAAGTAACCCCGAAAGATTTAGTCAGTTGGTAATTGGATGACACTTTGTGAGAAAGCTTGGCTGTAAATGTGGATTGTCCAAAGAATTTATAGCAATGGTTCAAGCTGAAAGTTAGTCCCAACTACAGTATGCCCAGTGAATTTATGGGAATTGGAAAATCAATATTTATTCCCCAATTCAGTACATTTATTATTGTTGGGAATTACAAATAGAAGAAACCTATCAGTATAAAGTGACAAATCATTTCTTCATTCAATTGTATGATATACTGTCTTGGAATGAAGTGGAGGTTGTTAAACAGAGTGTTTTGATTCTGTGTTCTGTATCAGAATAGGGTTGGACTAGATGACCTTGGTAGTCTTTTCTAACTCTGTAATTCTGTGATTCTCACAAGCCCTTGCTGCAATTATCCTTCCACAGGAGAATAGGAGCAAAGTCATTAAATCGATTATATGGATCTTTTAATCAATGGCTATAGCCATATTTTACTGACTCTATTTAATAGAGGTTGCTATTGTTAGTTTTATGTCTGGTTTTATGTAAATATGTTATTATTTTAAATGTTGATGTATCACATTTTATGTGTTGTATGGCACCAGCAAAGGATCACTGCCTTGTCGGGGCGCTGGAGCTTGAGCACCTCAATGATGTCATGAGCGAAACCGTGAAGGGCCACCCAAGACGGGACGGTTGTGGCAGAGAGGTCAGACCAAGCGTGATCCCTGGGCAAGGCAATGGCAAACCACTCCAGTATCCTTGCCAAGAAAACTAAATGGACCAGTACAACCAGAGATATGTCGGTATGCCATTGGAAGATGGGACTCCCAGGTCGGAAGATGGCCAAAATGATACTGGGGAGGAGCAGAGGATAAGTTCAACTAGCCCCAGATGTGATGACGCAGCTAGCTCAAAGCCGAAAGGAAGGCTAGCGGCCGACGGTACTGGAGGTGAACGACGAATCCGATGCTCTAAAGATCAACACACCATAGGAACCTGGAATGTAAGATCTATGAGCCAGGGCAAATTGGATGTTGTTATTGGTGAGATGTCAAGACTAAAGATAGACATTCTGGGGGTCAGCGAACTGAAATGGACTGGAATGGGCCACTTCACATCAGTTGACCACCAGATCTACTACTGCGGACAAGAGGAACATCGAAGAAATGGAGTAGCCTTCATAATTAATAAGAAATTTGCTAAAGCAGTGCTTGGATACAACCCAAAAAATGACAGAATGATCTCAATTCGAGTGCAAGGAAAGCCTTTCAACATTACAGTGATCCAAATATACGCCCCAACCACAGCTGCTGAAGAAGCAGAAGTAGATCAGTTCTATGAGGATCTGCAGGACCTACTGGATAATACACCAAAAAGAGACATTATTTTCATTACAGGAGACTGGAATGCCAAGGTGGGAAGTCAAATGACAACAGGGATCACAGGCAAGCATGGTCTGGGAGAACAAAATGAAGCGGGACGCAGGCTGATAGAATTTGGCCAGGAAAACTCGCTGTGTATAACGAATACTCTCTTCCAACAACCTAAAAGACGGCTTTACACATGGACCTCACCAGACGGTCAACACCGCAATCAGATTGACTACATCCTTTGCAGCCAAAGGTGGCGGACATCCATCCAGTCGGTGAAAACAAGACCTGGGGCTGACTGTAGCTCAGATCACGAACTTCTTATTGCCCAATTTAGAATAAAACTAAAGAGATCAGGGAAAATACACAGACCAGTGAGATATGATCTCACTAACATTCCTAGCGAATATACAGTGGAAGTGAAGAACAGATTTGAAGGACTAGATTTAGTAAACAGAGTCCCAGAAGAACTATGGACAGAAGTTTGCGACATTGTTCAGGAGGCGGCAACAAAGTACGTTCCAAAGAAAAAGAAAACCAAGAAGGCAAAATGGTTGTCTGCTGAGACACTGGAAGTAGCCCAAGAAAGGAGGAAAGCAAAAGGAAACAGTGATAAGGGGAGATATGCCCAGTTAAATGCGCAATTCCAGAGGTTAGCGAGAAGAGATAAGGAACTATTTTTAAATAAGCAATGCATGGAAGTGGAAGAAGACAACAGAATAGGAAGGACAAGAGACCTCTTCCAGAAAATTAGAAACATTGGAGGTAAATTTCAGGCAAAAATTGGTATGATAAGAAACAAAGATGGCAAGGACCTAACAGAAGCTGAAGAGATCAAGAGGTGGCGAGACTATACAGAAGATCTGTATAGGAAGGATAACAATATTGAGGATAGTTTTGACGGTGTGGTGAATGAATTAGAACCAGACATCCTGAGGAGTGAGGTTGAATGGGCCTTAAGAAGCATTGCTAACAACAAGGCAGCAGGAGACGACGGGATCCCAGCTGAACTGTTTAAAATCTTAAAAGATGATGCTGTCAAGGTGATGCATGCAATATGCCAGCAAATATGGAAAACACAAGAATGGCCATCAGACTGGAAAAAATCAACTTATATCCCCATACCAAAAAAGGGAAATGCGAAAGACTGCTCAAACTTCCGTACAGTGGCCCTTATTTCTCATGCCAGTAAGGTAATGCTCAAGATCCTGCAAGGAAGACTCCAGCAATACATGGAGCGAGAGTTGCCAGATGTACAAGCTGGGTTTAGAAAAGGCAGAGGAGCGAGAGACCAAATTGCCAATATCTGCTTGATAATGGAGAAAGACAGGGAGTTTCAGAAAAACATATTTCTGTTTTATTGACTATTCTAAAGCCTTTGACTGTGTGGATCATAATAAATTGTGGCAAGTTCTTGGTGGGATGGGCATCCCAAGCCACCTTGTCTCTCTCCTGAGGAATCTGTACAAGGACCAAGTAGCAACAGTAAGAACTGACCACGGAACAACAGACTGGTTCAAGATTGGGAAAGGCTTACGGCAAGGCTGCATACTCTCACCCAACCTTTTTAACTTGTATGCAGAACACATCATGCGATGTGCGGGGCTGGATGAATGCAAAGCTGGGGTGAAAATTGCTGGAAGAAACATTAACAACCTCAGATATGCAGATGACACCACTATGATGGCCGAAAGCGAGGAGGAGCTGAGGAGCCTTCTAATCAAGGTGAAAGAAGAAAGCGCAAAAGCCGGGTTGCAGCTAAACGTCAAAAAAACCAAGATTATGGCAACAAGAATGATTGACAACTGGAAAATAGAGGGAGAAACCGTGGAGGCCGTGACAGACTTTGTATTTCTAGGTGCAAAGATTACTGCAGATGCAGACTGGAGCCAGGAAATCAGAAGACGCTTACTTCTTGGGAGGAGAGCAATGTCCAATCTCGATAAAATAGTGAAGAGTAGAGACATCACACTGGCAACGAAGATCCGCATAGTTAAAGCAATGGTATTACCTGTAGCAACCTACGGATGTGTGAGCTGGACCATAAGGAAGGTTGAGCGAAGGAAGATAGATGCCTTTGAACTGTGGTGTTGGAAGCAAATTCTGAGAGTGCCTTAGACTGCGAGAAGATCCAACCAGTCCATCCTCCAGGAAATAAAGCCCGACTGCTCACTGGAGGGAAGGATACTAGAGACAAAGTTGAAGTACTTTGGCCACATCATGAGGAGACAGGAAAGCCTAGAGAAGACAATTATGCTGGGGAAAGTGGAAGGTAAAAGGAAGAGGGGCCGACCAAGGGCAAGATGGATGGATGGCATCCTTGAAGTGACTGGACTGACCTTGAAGGAGCTGGAGGTGGTGACGGCTGACAGGGAGCTCTGGCGTGGGCTGGTCCATGAGGTCACAAAGAGTCGGAGACGACTGAACGAATGAACAACAACAATGGCACCATTGTGTGCTATTTTTAAGCCATCCTGAGTCCCTATGGGAGGTGTTAGCGGGGTATAAATAAAGTTGTTGTTGTTGTTGTTGTTGTTGTTGTTATTATTATTAGGCACTCTGATTACTGTTCCATAAGAGCAGGAGAGGCAGCCTTACCATTGACTACATATATTTGGATATAGAGAGCTGCAGTCCAACAAAAATTTAGAAACACACAGTTGCCATCATTACATACAGGGATGGCTCATCCCATTATGCAAAGTAAGCATTTGCAGTATAGTTGATTTTGCCCAGGGGCGCTCTTGAGGGAAAATAGACCTTGACATATGCGAGTTGTAGTTACTGGGATGTATAGTTCAGCTACAATCAAAGAGCATTCTGAACTCCACCAATGAAGGAATTGAACCAAATATGGCACACAGAACTCCCACAACAAACAGAAAATATATATCAGTGATTGGTTGGGGGACAGGGGGGCAAAATACTGTTTACTTACCATTGAAAATTACCTAGGGCCGCCTCTGACTACACAAGGATATTTTCAAATCTGGAAGTTTACTGTGTCCAGTTTTTTTTGAAATGTAAATTATTTTCAACAATAATAATGATATCTGCTATATTGAGGAGCACTACATGGATGAGGAAACTGTTGGGTGGATTAACACATTGAAACTAAACAAGTCAGGAGAAGAAACAGAGAATAGTCTGTTTGCTATGCACTCCATCACCATTTTGCCACCATCCTAGGATAAAACAAAAAGTCCCATAATCATCATGTTATTGTGAGACTGTGAGGGTTGTAGTCCCAAAGTGTTTTTTTAAAACTCTATAAAAGAGCAACTTTATGAAGAGAAAAGTCAGAACGTATTCCTTTGATATTCTTGGAGGCTCTCCCAGTGCTTTAGAATCCCCACAATTAACAGGTTTGGGGGTATGAGAACATTTCCAACGCCATCTGTGTAGTGGATGATATTGTTCCAAATCAAAGTGTAATTTGAGAGAGAGAGATACACAGCTATTTTGCACTGATTTTCCAAAAACATTTTTTCCCCTCATTCTTCTCTCTGCCTACATTTTTTCTAGTGGGTGACCATGATCATGTATTGCTGATCAAGTGATATATCTCTATAAATGCAGGTAAGAATTTACCCAAATGTTACTGTGGCAAGAGTGGGAGAGAAGGAGCTCTATCTCTTGCTTTCAGGCAAGCTAGCCACTTCTGTTCTTAAAAGGAAGGCCATGGCACAATGTGTAGTTAAATCCACTCCAACAGTCCAACTTTTAACACTAGTTTCCATTTCCACATGTTCTTGAACTAGTAATTTCTACTACTTTACAAAATCAACAATCAATTTGGGTTCTTAGTACTCAGAACTGAATTCAATGAATGGATAATACATTTGAGTTCCCCAAAATTATTATTATTTATTTATTATTTCACAGTTTTGTATACCAAGCTTCTCAACCTCGTCAAGGGACTCAGCCCGGTTTAGAGCCATAAAAACATATACATTCATTAAAATATCATATATCACAAATTACAAAACAACTTTAAAAAC